TGTATATATGTAAATATGTATATAGGTATATATGTATATTTTTTTATACGTATATTTTTTTTTTTAATATGTATATTTTTTATATGTATATATGTATATATGCATATATGCATATATGTAAATATGTATATATGTATATATATGTATATATGTATATATGTATATATGTATATATGTAGGTATGTATATATGTATATATGTATATATGTACATATGTAAATATGTATATATGTATATATGTATAGATGTAAATATGTAAATATATGTATATGTATAAATATGTATATATACGTATATATATATGTATATATATATATGTATATATATATATATGTATATATATATATATGTATATGTAAATATATATGTATATATATATATGTATATATATGTTTATATGTAGGTATGTATATATGTATATATGTATATATGTATATATGTATATATGTATATATGTATTTATGTATATATATGTAAATATGTATATATGTGTCCATGTACATATGTAGATATGTAGGTATGTAGGTATGTAGATATGTAGGTATGTATATATGTATGTATGTAAATATGTATATATGTGTATATGTGTAAATGTGTATATGTTTACATGTTTACATGTATATCTGTATATATGTATATATGTATATATGTATATATGTATATACGTATATATGTATGTATATGTGTATATGTGTATATGTGTATATGTGTATATGTGTATATGCCTATATGCGTATATATGTATAAATGTAAAAGAGTATATGTATATCTGTATATCTGTTTGTATGTCTATATGTATATATGTATATTTGTTCATATGTACATATATACATATGTACATATGTATATATGTATATATGATCGCGTCTTCCGACTGCGTGGTCCCCCCCGCCCCCCCAATGGTATGGGTTGCCAGGTAGCACCCCCCCCTTCCCTTCTATTTGCAAGCTATTGGCAGCATTTCTGATGTCCAGGCTCCTATTTGCTAGGTTTTTGCAGCGATTCTGACTACCAGCCTCGCATTTACTCGGTACATGCTACCTTTTAGACGACCTACGTAGCAAACATACTCCCTCAAAGTACCTACGTGCTACCTATAGTCATATATACATGTGCTATGTATCTACTTCCTATATATATATATGTATATACATACATACATACATATGTAGCTATATGTATATATATATATATGTATATATATATACATATGTGTGTATATATATATATACACATACATATATATATACATACATATATATACATATACATATATATATATATATCTATATCTATATACATACACATATATATATACATACATATATATATACATATACATATATATATATATCTATATCTATATACATACACATATATATATACATACATATATATATACATACATATCTATATATATATATATCTATATACATATATATATATTTATATATATATATACACATATACATATATATACATATATACATATATATATATATACATATACATATATATATAAATACATATATATATACATATGTATATACATCTATACATGCACATATATACATATAATCACAAATATATTTATATATTTAAATATGTACACATACATATATATATATACTTATACGCATATATATATATATAGATACATGTATATACATATGTACATATATACACATACATATTTACATATATATATATATATACATACATAGACATATATATATATAAGCAGTACCGCACCCCCACCACACCACAGGGGGGGCGGGGAACATATTTCCTGTATATCCATACCCATTCCTACTACTAACTACTTCTCACTACTACTAACTACTAGGAACCCGGCGCATAGACGGCCGTGGCTCAGAATGAAGATTGAGTATCATCCAGCATTGATTTTCTGTGCGTTTGTAAGGGGATTTCTCAAGTTTCAGGTGTATACACTTTTTGTGGCTGAATTCCTTTGGAAAGTTAGCTATATGGCGTTTTCGCCTCAGCGAAACGATAATTTTAATGCTTTTTTGAAATGACGTAACTACTTTGTCTATGCCAGGATTTGCTTCTTTTTTTCCTCATCTGACAGCATCAATCCTGCGGCAGGAGATCTTCCAAGTGTTCCAAAAATTCGCAGCAGCGTAGCATCCACGTATGTAGGCAAGGTACATGAACGTTAATATCCCCCCGACCCCACCCATGCCCAGTGACGTAGCAACAGCGTAGCATCCACGTATGTAGGCAAGGTACATGAACGTTAATATCCCCCCCACCCCACCCATGCCCAGTGACGTAGCAGCAGCGTAGCATCCACGTATGTAGGCAAGGTACATGAACGTTAATATCCCCCCCACCCCACCCATGCCCAGTGACGTAGCAGCAGCGTAGCATCCACGTATGTAGGCAAGGTACATGAACGTTAATATCCCCCCCACCCCACCCATGCCCAGTGACGTAGCAGCAGCGTAGCATCCACGTATGTAGGCAAGGTACATGAACGTTAATATCCCCCCCCACCCCACCCATGCCCAGTGACGTAGCAGCAGCGTAGCATCCACGTATGTAGGCAAGGTACATGAACGTTAATATCCCCCCCACCCCACCCATGCCCAGTGACGTAGCAGCAGCGTAGCATCCACGTATGTAGGCAAGGTACATGAACGTTAATATCCCCCCCACCCCACCCATGCCCAGTGACGTAGCAGCAGCGTAGCATCCACGTATGTAGGCAAGGTACATGAACGTTAATATCCCCCCCACCCCACCCATGCCCAGTGACGTAGCAGCAGCGTAGCATCCACGTATGTAGGCAAGGTACATGAACGTTAATATTCCCCGCCCACCCCACCCAACCCCCTTTTGCTAAAATATGTATTTCGGTCCACGGCCGTCTATGCGCCGGGTACCAACTACTACTAACTCTCACCACTGCCCTACCGACCCACAGGGGGGGCGGGGAACATAGCTCCTGTATATCCATACCCATTCCTACTACTAATTACTACTCACTACTACTAACTACTACAAACCTCCCCCACCCCCCTACCCACCCACAGGGGGGGCGGGGAACATAGCTCCTGTATATCCATAGCCATTCCTACGACTAACTACTACTACTACTGCTGCTGCTACTACTACTACTACTCCTGCTGCTGCTACTACTACTACTACTGCTGCTGCTGCTGCTACTGCTACTACTACCACTACTACTGCTACTGCTACTGCTACTGCTACTACTACTACTACTACTACCACTACCACTACCACTACCACTACCACTACCACTACCACTACCACTACCACTACCACTACCACTACCACTACCACTACCACTACCACCCCCCCACCCACCCATCCACAGGGGGGGCGGGGAACATAGCTCCTGTATACCCATACCCATTGGGGGGGAGGGGGGGGGACCTGGGAGGGCTGCATCATATATGTATATGTATATATATATATACATTTTCTATTCATGCTGTTTCAATTACATGCCAGTACAAGGCTACTACTTACGTGATTACTTGCGCATCTGTAAGTGGGCCACTTCCCTAGCAAACCTTCAAAAACCCTTAGGGTAACAGCAATCATCAAATTAGCGTGCTTGAAGCTGCTCATATGGGTTTAGCCAGAAAAAAATAGGGGCGTCCCCATCGGTGTGACGCTTGCTGTTTCAACGTTTTTGGTATTCTTGGATATATACTGGTTATCACCAGTCATATTATTTGTCAAGTCTGTATTCTTCTTAGTCACATGCATGCCAAATATTCCTGGTTTTACCCCAATCTCGGGAGAAAATCCACATCCTATTGCTGGTCATTCCTCCACCTCAGCTTCGGGGTGAGATCCAGGAATTACGACCGCTTGTTAAGCGTATGGCTCAAAATTATTCAGATTTATCGAGGCCTAAAAATTGATAAATCTGAATAATCCATGCTAAATTGGAATTTATTCAATTTTACATATATTTACTGAAGAATCCCAATTTTGCCGGGTCCATGCTCATTTTTTTACTGAGCCATGGTCTTAGTTTATGGATCATGGATCATTCCCCGCTTTGATGCACCTCCGACTCTTCACCTTCGATTCCCAGACCTTCGGTGCGAAAGACCACAAGTTTGAAATGGGTCGGCAAGTTCGCTCGGACCCTGGCCGCTGGTGAAATGTTCTGCTGTGATTTTGTGTGATATCCGAAATGGAGGGAACATGTTTTGTTTTTTTTCCAGATTTTTTCAGTAGTTTGAAATAAAGACATGCTCGTCCTTTTTTCCCTCTCAGTGATCCAAACCTGTTGTTCGTTGGTTATGGCAAATCCTAACAATATGCAGAACATTGAAAGTTGTGTTTTTTTCCTATCTTTTTGTGGGTTATGTACTATATCTGTTGTATGCAAACTTTAATGGGGAAATCCCCAGTTGACCTTTTTTACGGGTTGGTTGATGAAAATAGCGGGGTACGCCGGGTACGCCACAATTTTCCAGGCCATGGGGGTCAGAGGATGACAGTGGTACCACTCACCGACCCAAACCGAACCAATGTTTCAGAAAAGAAGTCATTACTAGTTCTGGACAATACAAGTATCGTGATTCCGTTAAACTCCGTTGATTTCCCCTTTCGAATACCCAACCGAGTACAGTGTGATGCCTCGGCCCTAAACATCCAGAAAGAAACAGTGATTTCCCTGCGCAGACAGTTTTGATGTAGGGAATCTTCACTACTATAATTTAATTCTGGTTTTCCCGATCAAAGTTGACGTTTTTGTCGGGGGAAAATAACCAATTTTCAGGTCTACACCCAAATATCATGTTGTCGGTTAGTTAGGTCCCGTCATGTTTGCATGATATGCCCACGAAAAATCCCATGAAATCACCCTTTCCAATGGGTTTTTGGCGTTCTTCCATTGGATTTGGAGGTGTTTCGATGGATTTTGGGGGGTTCCTCTCCGTCATCGTCCCCCCTTTGAAGGTCGCTTGTTTTCGCTTGGTCACAACGGCCAGGGGAAGAAGAAGACCATCAAGATGGAAGAAGATGTCGTCGAACCCGAGCGCACGGAGGCTCCGGCAAGTTGCAGGGTAAATCCACGGTTTAATGGTGATTTAATGGTGATGACTAGGGAGACATAGGGATCAAACCAACCACCTACATGGGGGAATCCCCAAGTCACATGCGTGTTTCAATACTATAGTTTGGTCATCCATGACTTGGATGATGCGAAGGGGTACCCCCATTTTCGGAAACCGTCATGTATTTTGACATATATAAATATATATACTTATATGCATACTTACTTTTATACATATATAATATACGTGTATACATGTATACATGCATACTTACTTTTTTACATACATACAGGATGGGGCCCCCTAGTTATAAGTTGGTTTATAACCCCATCTAAATTTAGTTATAAGTATCATACACTATTGTTTTTATAGTTATAAACCAACTTAGCTAACTATGGGGCCCCATCCTGTAGATTACATTACATTACATTACATTGCATTCCCTTACCTTACATTACATTACATTACATACATTACATACATTACATACATTACATACATTACATACATTACATGCATATCATACATATCATACATATCATACATACAATATACCATACATACCATACATACCATACATACCATACATTACATACATACCATACATACCATACATACCATACATACCATACATACCATACATACCATACCTACCTACCTACATACCTACCTACATACCTACCTACCTACCTACCTACATAGATAGATAGATAGATAGATAGATAGATGCATGCATGCATGCATACGTACATACATACATACATACAGACACACACACACATACATACATACATACATACATACATACATACATACATACATAGATAGATAGATAGATAGATAGATACATACATAGATAGATAGATAGATACATACATACATACGTACATACATAGATAGATAGATAGATAGATAGATAGGTACATACATACATACATACATACATACATACATACATACATACATACATACATACATACATACATACATACATACATACATACATACATACATACATACATACATACATACATACATACATACATACATACATACATACATACATACATCATACATACATACATACATACATACATACATACATACATACATACATACATACATACATACATACATACATACATACATACATACATACATACATAGATAGATAGATAGATAGATAGATAGATACATACAGACATACATACATACATACATAGATAGATAGATAGATAGATACATAGATAGATAGATAGATAGATACATACATACGTACATACATAGATAGATAGATAGATAGATACATACATACATACATACATAGATAGATAGATAGATAGATAGATACATAGATACATAGATACATAGATACATAGATACATAGATACATACATACATACATACATACATACATACATACATACATATGTGGATGCGAATAGCATGTACAACATCCTGAAAGAGTTTCTCCCAAGGCGCAACGTGTGGAGTTCGTCCGCAGCGTTGGCGTCCGAGCCGCAACAGAAACGATGCGGGAGCAGTGGAAACGCGAATCCATGGCGCGGAAATGGAGGTGCTGGGTGCACTGGGTGAAGCACCGAAGCACCGGACTGAGTGGGATGAGTGATGGGTTGTACCGCCGTACCGCCTCATCCATCTATGTGGATGGGTTCATTTTACCACATTATTATCAATTTTATTACTATATATATATAATTATGGGGAGAATGATGGATTTATCAAACACTGACTATGGTGGGTTACTTGCAAAACAGTTTTCTGAATTTTCTATGAAAATCAGAAAAACCACGTATTCATAAACTGGGGCATTACCAGCAACCATAGGTATAGATAACCTTAAAGGGTGGAGTCTTAGGCAACAACCAACGTGCCGTAGCCATCGACCAACAGCCAGTGGAACTGGAACCTCGCCCGGAGCCCGGTGCCCCTGGTTCCGTGGTGCCTTGGTGGAGCGCGGGGCGACTTGATTTCTAGTCATGGGGGTAGCCCGCTGGAGATTTCATGGACAATCCCTTTTTTAAAATAGATGAATTGGGGGTAGCCCTATTCTAAAAAATCTCTATTTTTTTTTTGCAAGTTGCTGTCTTCAAGTATCTTTTGGTTTGGACAATTCACTATCTTATCTATCACTGATTCAACCACCAATCAGATTACAAGATGGTGGTTGTATTTTTTGTCATCACTACAAGGTGGGGGCCCTTAAACGATAGCCAAGTTGTAATGAAAGTTTTTGTCCAACAACTCGGCTTTATGGTAATTACAACTATTATAGTTTACGTTTGTTTATGAGCTTTCTCCTGTAAGGATAAACCCTTATTGCATCAAACGTTGAAACTGGAATGTCCAGTTGTCGCATCGTCAGATTCATGTTGTCCTGAAGTCGGGCTCAGCTCTTTTTATTCCGTAGCCATTTTGGCTCAAGTCGGGCTCAGCTCTTTTTATTTTCGCCCACATCTCCGTTTTCTGCACCGCCATGGAAGAGGTTCATAGTGCTCCTCAGGGATTTTTGGAGACGAATGTCATCTATGTCCCGAAGGAGGCCGCGCTGCCGGACATTGCAGTCCACGGGCTCTTCACCTTCGTGGAGGACCAGACGTTGGCCGAAGTCCGTGAGTCGGTCGAATGGCACACCTGTGCCCCTGGCCGTCTGGAGGCCGTGTGCCTGTGGGTCCGGGATGAGACACCTCCTGTGTCCAAGCGCAAAGCCTCTCCTGGCGATGTGGACGATGAGCCCGACCATGGGGATGACACAGCAGCTTCAGTGGCACCTGCCACCCCTGTCCCATCGACAGGTGCTGCCACCGTTGGCGACGAAACCCTTCGCAAGGTGGACCACAAGCTGCTCTACATGCTGTTGGAGCTCCAGGGGCAGTTCGAACAAATGCAGCACGAGGACGCAGCTGGCGCAGCCTTTGGCCTGCTCAAAGAGCGATTGGGCCAACTCACCACTGACGACGTCAGGGCGATCAAGCGCCAGAAGGTGCTGCGAGCTGAAGCTCCTATTCGGACCTCCTGGGATTGAGCGTCCCCTTGCCTCCACAGAATGGGGGTTGGCGAGGCAAGGTCTTTGATGACTGAACTTTGACTGGTTGCAATCGTTGCTCGAGCCTTGCACTTTGCCTTGACAGTGGTTTTTGGAAGGATTGACAGGGCTCGGCATGGACAGCTTTTGTGATCAGTTAGGTATGCCGTTTAGCAATCATTGCTCGAGCCTTGCACTTTTTCAAGACAGTGGTTTTGGACAGCCGGGGCAATGGGGTTTTGCAATATCTGACCCAACCCTGGCCGTATGGTGGATGTGCAATCTTGCAGGTGTTTGGAGGATCGTGGCACAGCCCTTTAGACTTCCTGCTCATGGATTGCGACCATAAGTGTCGTTGCTTCGATGGCAAAGCCCACGTCTCACCTGTGTTTTTGGCAAAATGTGAGTAGCTGACCCGGTTGACCATTGCAGAGTGTCTGCAAGTGCAGGATGTCTGCATTGATGGCATGGCATGTCACATGTCGATGTATTTCAACCTGGTTTGGCTTAAGTGATTTTCGGTGACGCGTTGACACCCTGGGGGCCATTGACTCAATCTCCCCTGCCAATTTGTTTTTGAAACTTACCCCATTTGCGAAATTGCATGGATGTGAACCTAGTTGTATAATGGAGCCCCCATGTTGATTGTCAACTGTCCCAGGCCCTGTCAAGTGATTGTGACGTCCATTCACGTGGAGGCATGGGCCTTGGAACAGGTGACTAGCGCCGAATTGTTGCGATGTGGCACATGTTTTGTCGGGATGTCCATGACATGTCACCCAGTTTGCCCGGATGTTGGTGCAGGTGGTGAGCATTACGGCGTGCCACCCTCAACTGAATCTTATGCAGATTGTCATGCAACCACGCCTTGATTGATATGCTGATGTATCACAATGTTCAAGGTTGGACGTGACCCGGTGGCGTCATGATCTCAGAATAGAGTGGGGATGTCCCTCCCTATTTTTCTTTTGCATGTCCTTGCTGAGATGTCCAGCACAAGAAAACATGCTCATCCGAATGTTGGCACAGGTGGTTGGAGCTCATTTTGCACCGGCCTCATTTGGTGTTTTGTATTTTCCACCCTGTCCATGTTTCTCACATTTGATGTCAGCACACCCGGCGTCGCTTCAGGTGGGATCAGACCCGGTGGTGCCATGTGCTCAGGGCAGATTGAGGGTGTCTCAATTGCTCTGCTGATTCAGTTATCTTTTGGGCTGATTGATAGTGTTGCTTCGTTCAGGCCTAGATTCGTTGTGAGGCAGGAGGTCCTGACCAGGCGAGAATGTAGGGATGTCCTACATGCATGCAATGTGCATTGAGGGCAGCCTGCCGGCTTCACTGGCAGGAGCTGAAGACGTGGTTGCGCGGCAGAGGCACTGTGCCGAGGACCGAGCGGTGACTCCCAGCTGCAGGCTGGAATGCTGAGCACCACAAGTGCACAGGGATGTCTGGATGCTTCAAGTTTCCTTGATTCATGAGATATCTTTTGATTGGACATCTTTCAATCGGACAGGTTACCCCCATGGGAGCACATGCTTCGCTCCAAACGGGCCATCCTGAAGCAGTTCAACCCTTGTCTGAACGTGAGAGGGTGCTATTGCATGCAATGTTGGAAGAATGTCATCATAGTTGTGCGTCGGCTCCTGACATATCCATGCCCTGGGAATTGCCAGCATTGTCAATGGTTTTTGGAGAGCCGAATAGACCAATCATTCCTCCGATCAGACCCGTATTGGGGTATGTGGAGCCACCCAGTGGTGATGTTAGAACGGAAGGTGTTGTGATTGTGCAGCCGAAAGCCACTGCCTTCGAACATGCAATCAGCTTCAATTCCAAGAGGACTTGTCATCTCCCAGAATCAGAGCAGCTCCTCCTTCTGATTCAGAAATGGGAGGCAGTGGTCTCCATCGAACCTAGGGCGTTCGACCTTGGGGTCAATGTTGTGGACCTAACCTATGAAGAGCGGTTGTCGGTGGTCAGGGATGTCCTTGGAGGAAAAGCCATTGCAACCATCCGGCAACGACTTGGACAGTTGGGCCAGTACATCAAGTGGGCAACAGAAGAGGCTCGACGCCCTCCGTTTCCGGTGACGTCGGAGCTCGTCAAAAACTATGTGAGACATTTGAGAAACCATGATGCCACTTTCTCGAAGTACACAGGTTTCCTGGAGACACTCAAGTTTTCAAAATACGTTGTGGGTCTCGAATGTGATCTGGAGGCTTTCAAATCGGCCTGGGTGTCAGGCATCATGCGAGCAGCAGGACAGAACAGGCCATTACGCAGACAATCCACGGTGCTGACAGTGGATGCTCTCCTGTTCCTTGAAGCTTTGCTTGAGGACTCTCAGGTTGCCGGAGTCGACCGGTACGCAGTTGGAGTCGTGTTGTTTGCGACATACTCCCGGGCCAGATTTGGAGACCTCAAGAGCATCGCCTCCATCCTCATTGACGAGGTGCCTCCGAACAAGGAGGAGAGCATTGGCTTCCTGGAGATGCACTCAGCGTCCCACAAGATGCGGGCTACGGGCAACCGCCTAGGTTCCCATCTGCCCTTGGTGGCCCCTCTGAAGGGTTTGGGACCGACTTCGTGGGGAAAGACCTTCATCAAGATTGGCAAGGAGGTCGGTCTGGACATGGGCAAGTGGGATCCTTATTGTCCACTATTGCCTGCACCTGACCAGATGGGAGCATGGACCGGCAGACCGACCACATCAGGCGAAATCAACAGATGGATAAAGCAGATCTTACTGCCCTGTGAGTTTGACGCATCTGGCTTCACCCCTCATGGCTGCAAGGCTACAACACTGGCCATGTTGTCGAAGTATGGCGTGGAGGCTGAAGTTAGACTTGCATTGGGCCATCACCAGATCCGCAAGGGGGTGGCTGAGGTGTATGCAAGGGACACCCAGTCTGCCCCCTTGAGGGTATTGGAGTCAATGTTCCGTGACATCAGACGAGGTCACTTCCAACCAGACCAATCTCGGTCGGGCATGTTTCGCAGGGAAGAACATGAAGTGAATCCTGCGCCAGCACAGGACCCTGGCCTGGTGACGGATGTGCCCTTGCCGGCACCTGAAGGGGAGTACTCTCCTGGATCACTCGCTGAGAGCTGGAACCTCGAGACACCTGGGATCCCAGCAGTTCTTGCAGCCATGGAGCCATCAGAGGCAGTGGATACAATCTCTTGCAACTCAGATGATAGCAGCTCTTCGAGCGACTCCGAGGCTGACAGCTGTGCAACAGAGACGCTGGAGGAACAGGCAAAGGACATGCCAGAAGCCCATGCGTCTGCCCAGAAAAGCATACCGAAGATGTATCAGCACAAGAAATCAAAGGTGGTGCACTACGCATCCTGGTCTGGCACGGCCTTCACATGTGGGCGACAGTTGACCCAGGAGTATCGGCAGTGCTCTGAAAGACTTGTGGTGGAGTCCATGAGATGTCAGAATTGCCAAAGGCGAGTCGACAGCCGAACTCGCGACCATGACCTTGAGAACATGGAAGCCGTGGTCAAGCGCTCGAGGCGTCAGTAGGAGAACTTTCTCCTGTAAGGATAAACCTTATTGCATCAAACATTGAGCGGAAAAAAAAAGTGCGCCAATACTTGTTGGTCTGGATCATGCGATGTGCATGCATGTCGATTGCAGAACATTCATGTCGTTTCTTGCAATCCGCCTGACCTGGCATGATGATATGTGCATCAATGCCGCAGCCAAAAAAAACAAAAAAAAAATGTTTTGATCCAGGTGCAATACTGATAGTGCATCATGACATGTCAATTTCAGTACAAGATTTTCTTCAACTATCTTAGCTCTTCGACATGGCAACAATCCTGGAATCTCCAGCGGCATTTGAAGCGAGAGCACTGGAGCATGGAATCACAACAGAACAGTTGGACAGACTCAAGGCGAAGGGCTTGACCAATCTGTCCAAATTAGCCTTCTCCATTTCGACACCAGGAACCAGTCCGGAAGATGAATCCCTGAAATCGTTGGTCCACGATGATCCAGATTTAGTCACAGTAGGGCAGCTGGCTTCAATCAGGAGGCTCATGTTTGATGCACAAACACTTTGTGCGGCACAGGTGAAACACATTCTGGCAGGGACAGAATCTACCAGAACATCAGAACTTGTCCCAGCAGAGCGAGCCCAGAGGATTGAAGCCCAGAGAGCCCGACTTGCAGGGATGGAGCTCACTGGGCCATTGGAATGCTCCCACCAATCATACTCCTACGTTGGAAAGATGGTAGAAGCAAACGTTCCACATTACCTGGAACCGCACCGGTTCACCACGAGAGCTTCTGAAGTTGCAAAGGAGAAGCCGGGCAAGGAGCTCATCCTGGATCAATCGAACCTGGTGGTCAAAGACGTGGAGCGAAAGGATCGATGCACCCTACAAGGGGACTTACAGGTGTTCCAAGCGCTCACTCGGCGCTCATTGGCTTGCGATCTGATGGGGGTCTGCTCCTTCAAGAACATGGAGCGGTGGCACCGATTTCTCATGGATGCTACGCAGATTGCAGCGCCAGGGGGATACAAATCTCCGACCACCGAGCAGATCCTCCGTGCCGACAGAGCTGCATGGGTGAGGATGGCAGAGCTTGTGCCCAGTCTCAGACGGCAAGCGGATGGCACATTGCCGCTGGATGCAGCACTTGATGCACTGCGCACAGATCCCACCGTGGTCTTCCACATGATGCCTTTGCCAGCAGCCACCAGCAAGCCAGACAAGCCTGTGCCCCCGAAGCCACAACCAGTCAAGAAGGATACGCCGAGCAACAAGGTGCCTGGTGGCGGCAAGGCCAAGGGAAAGGGCAGAGGCAAGACCAAGAGCAGCAAAGGACGCATGCCGGCTGAACTTGTTGGCCTTCACCAAAACATGAAGAATGGCAAGCGTCTGTGCTACAATTACAATCTTGACAAAGGATGCTCCTATGCGGAGGCAGGCAAAGAGTGCATGAAAGGGGCACACTTCTGCATGCGGTGCCTGGGCCAGCACCCTGCTCATGAGTGCCCAAACAAGCCGGTGGGTTGACTCCCCACTGGCGAGCAGCACATCGCGACCACAGACTGTGCTGCTCATCAACATCCCAGTGGTCAAGCAATGCAGCAAGAAATTTCTGCCAAGCTTCCTGTGGCGAATCGCGACAGACAGGCTGTAAGCACAGAACAGCATGACCAATCTGCAGGCCGAAGTGTCAAGCGGAAACAGACGTGTACAGATGATTTTTCTTCACAACTGGCCAGTCGCATCAAGGGCAAGCCCTTCTCTCAATTGCTGGTCATTGAAATTTTTTCCGGAACAGGTGGGTTCACTGCCGCTGTCCGCAAATTGGGCATGACACAATCTCTGGGTGTCGATGCACACGTCACGAAACAGGTGAAGGCACCCATCATCAGGATCAATCTGGCCGAAACAACGGGCCAATGCTTGCTTTGGAAGATACTTGACAATGACAATGTGGTAGCAATTCACATGGGACCTCCTTGTGGTACCTCCAGCAGGGCTCGCGAGATCAAGAAGGGTAAGCGGTATAATCCTCCGCCTCTTCGATCCAATGCCCATCCAGACGGGTTACCAACATTGTCAGGAGTTGCCCTTGACAGAGTTACCACAGCCAATTGCTTATATCTACTGTGCAGTGAAATCATGGCCTGGGCAACCCAACGGGGCATCATAGCCTCCATTGAGAACCCACTACGTAGCCATGCCTGGAACACATCACATATGCAGAAACATCTGGTGAGACTCCAACTTCATGAGGTCGTCTTCCACCACTGCATGTATGGAGCTACAAGGAGGAAGCGCACCAAACTCCTGTGCAATCACCGGTGCTTGTTGCCCTTGGCATTACAGTGTGACAACTCTCATGACCATGAAGGATGGGGCATCGCTCCGACAGGGCAATGGGCTACAGCTTCTGAGGTCGAGTACCCGCACCAACTTTGTCAAGCCTGGGCGCAATGCCTCAAGAGGTGCTTCCTGGAATATGGTGCTGTTGAACCAGCACTAGAGCTTGGCACAGATACAGATATTCCTTTGGTGCAAGCCAGCCGTGCAGCAACTGGCATCCAACCAAGGGGCAAGAAACTTAGACCCCTGATGCGGGAATATGCCAACCTCATCACAGTGCGGGGTCCTCAACAAGCCTTGTTGCAGTTACCCATCAAATGCAGTACAGATTTACATCTGCCCAAGCAGTGCTCCTTCACACCTTCAGTGCCCTTGATACCTGCACAAGCCAAACGGATCAGGCCTCCATACCAAATTGGGGACAAGGCGGAGTCCGATCAATGGGAAACAATCTATGGGGTCGCCTGGACGCATGAAGCCTTCATCAAAAGAGCAGCAGGCCGATCCCATCCTGGTCACTTTCTTGATGGAGTTCACCCGGTCCTCAAAAACATGTTTGAAGACGAAGCCCTGAGATCCACTGCTGACAGAGCCATCAAGCGATCAGAGCAGATGAGGAGGTGGATCAGCAGGGCCCAAGAACTAGATGCAATGGGGGTGGATGGCAAAGAAGACTCGCCAGCCCATGCTCGTGACAATCTTGCAAAGAAAAACCTACGGCTCTTCCATGAGATGATAGTTGCCTCGGGATCTCCAGATGTTGGACTTGCTTCGAACATTGCCTGTGGCTTTGATCTCATGGGCGACATCCCTGTGGGGTCCATTTATCCTGGAAAGGCCACCCATGCCACTCTGCTCCCTCAACAGGTGCGAGAGATGTCCAGCACTGCTCGTGCGGCCATTTGGGAGGCCACAAAGAGGGCTCCAGAGCCTATGGTTGCCGAGGAGGTGTACAAAATCACCATGGAGGAGCGTGACAGGGGTTGGTTACGTGGCCCCCTTTCAATGGACCAACTTCCACAAGATGCGGTGTTGTCAAGGAGGTTCGGTGTCAAGCAAACCTCAACCCTGGCCGATGGTAGCAGGATCACCAAGGTCCGACCGATTGATGATTTCTCTGAAAGTCTTGTGAACTCCACCAACTCCTGCAAGGAGGCGATACAGCCCATGGGTGTGGATGCCATACTTGCGGCCCTGGCGTTTCGAGATCAAGCCTGGGGCAGAGAGGAGTTGCGGGCCAAGACAATTGACTTGAGGAAGGCCTACAAAAACCTGCCACTTTCGGAGGAGGCAACAAGAGATGCATACTTGTGTGTTCTGTGTCCGACGGATGGGCAACCGAGAGCCTTCCAGACCCTTGTGTTGCCCTTTGGCGCCAGGGCGGCGGTCATGGGTTTCTGCCGGACCTCCTACGCCATCTGGAGGATTGGGGTGTCGATCTTCGCCCTGCACTGGACGGTCTTCTTCGATGACTATTACTTGGTTGCATCTTCACCTGAAATCAGGCATGTTGACATGGCACAGCAATTGCTGTTCAGACTCCTGGGCTGGGAGACCTCCTCGGAGAAAGAGGGTGACTTCCTGGCGATCTCTAAGATTTTGGGGGTACAGATTGACCTCAACGAGTCAAGGCTGGGTCGCTTTGCAGTCAGCAATGTTGAAGCAAGGGTCAAGGAGTTGGTGGCCAGCATCGATGCAATTTTGTCCAGGGGGACCTTGGCAGCAACTGAGATGAGGGCCCTGAGGGGCCGGCTGGTGTTTGCAGAGGCTCAGATATATGGGCGCCTAACAGGTCTCCACATGCAGCACCTTGGGCGTTGGGAACATGCCATGGGTGAGACAGCAGTCGATGTGGAACTAAGGGCCAGCTTGGAGTTCATTAGAGATCGGGTCATCTGCGGAGAGCCTAGGATGGTTGATGCCAGCCACGGCCGTGTCTTCCATCTGTACACTGATGCCTGCTACGAAGATCAATGTGGTGGTGTTGGTGGTGTCTTGATTGATGGGAGTGGAACCATGCTCTCGTACTTCTCGGCACAGATATCTCGGGATCAAGCCGCGAGGTTGAATCCCCTCAACAAGGACACAATCATCTTTGAGCTTGAAGCCCTGGCGGCCTGGCTGGGAGGACACATCCTACTTCCATCTGCAGCCATCCAGCCAAATGATAGAGTGGTAGTCTTCCTTGACAATGATGGTGTGCTTGGTCGTATAATCTCTGGCAAGAGTGGGCTTGGATTGGATGGTGCAATCATCAATGGAGTTCTTGAATGGGAATATTCGCTCAAAGCACTTGTCTGGTACGAACGAGTTCCTTCAGCTGCCAACATTGCAGATCCACCTTCTCGGGGTGAACTTGCTGGCTTCCGTAAAGAACTGAGGGTAGAACTGGACATTGACTGTGCCCTGAACGAACTCCTGGACTCGAGCCGTGATGCTTGAAATGTATACAATCCAATAGCAGCAAGCCCTTGTGACAATGTGTCATCAACAGTTGGCGATGTGTCGACTAATGAAATAGGGGAGGGCAGTCGACGACAACCCCGCTGTGTGTCAAAAAGAGCTGAGTTGTCAATCTGAAGATGTGCGAGTGTGATGCAATAAGAGCTTTCTCCTGTAAGGATAAACCCTTATTGCATCAAACGTTGAAACTGGAATGTCCAGTTGTCGCATCGTCAGATTCATGTTGTCCTGAAGTCGGGCTCAGCTCTTTTTATTTTCGTCCCACCCACCCTATACCCCTCAATTTTGTTCACTCCTGTCTCATTCTCGGCATACATGTCCCATGTGATCTTGGCAACATCAGGAAAGGTTAGCTCTATTTCGAAAGTTGACGAAGCACTCCTTTTTGTATTGTTTCTTGGTCGAAAAGGAGTGCGCATGTATCATGTGGCCAACACTGTGGTTGGCTTTGCAGTTGACCGTATCTAATGATATATGTCATACAATTTTATCCTTCAGACCACGTGTGTCCGACTCAATTTTCCCTGTGTGCCTGATCTCATGCCGCCGTCGCTGCAGCTGCTGTTGCGACCTGTGCTGCTCATCGAGGGCTGCGAAGCTCGCCTGCAGGCCAACCTCGACTGCCTGCAGACCATGGCCAATGAGCTTCCCACGAACTTCGATCAGCCTCGCCTTCATCTGAACCAGGCCATCCGATCTGTCAATTTGTGCCTTGATGAGCTCCGATTAGCCAAGCTAGTCGCCTTCATCCATTTTCTTCAACGTTTAAAAGTCTTCATCACCAAATACCGCAAAATGCCTGCGGTCGAAGACTCAGAAAGCTCGGAGCCATGATGGCCCCCTGATACAGAGAAGATTAGCATGGCCTTGACAGTTCCAAGTCATGACGGCCTCACGATACAGAGAAGATTAGCATGGCCCAGGCACACCTTTTGTGACATCTCCAATTCTTGTCAAATTTTGGTGCCAATTGAGCCTACCCTGCCGTACGGGCAGTCGACGACAACCCCGCTGTGTGTCAAAAAGAGCTGAGTTGTCAATCTGAAGATGTGCGAGTGTGATGCAATAAGAGGTTTATAAACCAACATCAAACAGCATCAAACAACATCAACCAACTGGGCGCCCCCAAACGTAGAGATGACCAAAATGGCCATTTCAGGATCCTAAACTGGAGATGCTGTAGCATATTCTTGGCCATATTTGGTGGGGGAATAGTGAGGAGAATGGACACGGTTTCATCTGAAACAACTGAAAGCTCCCTGAGCAAATCAATGCCCGGAGGCGGTTTGTCACCTCTGCCTTTCTTAAGCAGTCTCCGGTTCTTCAGCTGGTTAATCGAAGAACGTTGCTCCACAGGAATATCCTGCATTTCCACCAGAGCACGGCCAGGAGTAAATTTTTGAGCAAATTCTTGGGCATTGAATTGGTTCACTTTCTCAAGATTCAAAGGACCTTTGCACTCCCCAGCATGTTCCACAAGAAGTGACGAAGGAGGCAGCTGTCGAAAGCACCATGCCTTAGAACATGCCGCACATCGGGAACATCGGGCTACGAGTGTTCGCCACCCTTTGTCCGTCGAAGTGCTCAAGGAAGAATGCAAGATTTTCTTGTTTGCTAGCCACCGTTGTGCCGAAGCTCTGAAAGACTCATCTGCTGGAATCTCCTCCCTAGCACATTCCTGCCAATCTCGTCTTTTGTTCTCACCTGCAAGGTTCAATCTAGCCAAGTGCTTGTGGTATTCAGTAGGGGTATAAAGATATGTATTGATTACAATGCTCATAGCGTCATCTAATTGTATCATGAATGAAACATACTGTGGGTTGATTTTTGTTCACAACCAGCTGATTCAAGATTTCTGCAGGACGGGCCTCCCAGTTTCAAGTTGGTGTAAAACCCAATGTGACCATAGATAAATCCATTGTACAGGCGTTCAAGTCATGTTTACCCATGGAAATGAATCCATTTGAAACGCTTCCGCCTTTGTTGACTCTAGGCTTCGGTTTTGGCTCAGGCGCTGCTGGCACAACATCCTCCACGTTGCCGCGTCCATCTAGCAAAGCATGCAAGGCAGCGCCTTCTCTGTCATCAGCGGGCACATCTACTTGCCTACCCGCCCTTCGGCGGTACAACATTATCTCTTTGAGATGTGTAAACACTCGAGAAAGGAACGGCCATGACGAAAGAGCATCCCTTTCCTCACCTAAAATGCACACATATGTGGTATTCAATCCGGATTCAATCCCACAGAAAACAACTCCAAGAAAGAATAAATTTGAATTCAAACCTGAAGAAAAAGGTTCCAGAAAGGAATGAATCTGAATTCAAACCTTTAAAAACCATGCATTGCAGAGCTCACATCCAGATTCACGACCAACCAAATGTACACCAGAAAGACCAGGCTAACATCAAGATTTAAGAGCAACCAGAGCACAGGCATAGAATGTGATACTTGAATCTTGATTCAAGCTTGCCTATGTGGGCACCGCCCTGAGAAGCTTACATTTGGATTCAAACCTCCCCAAGAATAGTAGGGAACCATACAACCACAGAGGTTAAATCAGGATTCAAGCCATTGTGAAATCAGGTTTCCTTCCGTTCTCATAAATCGATATGAAATTGCCATTGATGATATGAGTTGCTCATATCCACCACTATATTGCCAAAATAGTGGTAAACAATTCCAAGAAATATCTCACCAAAAATAGCCAATCAACAAGTTGTATCCCAATATCCCTCTGGTAAACATAGAACAACTGGTTGGTGGTTTGGAACATGGCTTTTATTTTTCCATCGGGAATAGTAGCCCCAACTGACGAACTCCATCAATTTTCAGAGGGGTAGCTCAACCACTAACCAGCAATGGTTAAAATTCCCATAATGGTCAACCATAACCACCATTATTAACCATTATTAACCATTATTAACAAACGATGGAAAATCCACCCATTTTCCTCTTGGTAAATCAGTAAATCAAAGGCCGCGAGCCTATGGAGGCCATTTTCCGAAGGGCTGAAGGGGGTTGTTGTCGTCGCCGGCCCCTGAAAACCGGGGGTTTTGGTTATCAAAAACAGGGACTTTTTTTCACGGGAGAAACCAATGAAATCAATGAAACATGGGAAATAAAAAAAAATGATTTTCATGATATGTCATCACTAACCCAATGAAGCCAATGTTTGTTGCTTTTTCAGACTTTTGAAGTACGGAACATCAAAGACCCAATGAAGAAGTGGAGATTTTTCCCCACCATTTCGCGCATCCAGGATTTGCCATCAATTGATATGTGGATTCAACGAGCCGAATAGGCTTGGGATACGAAGCAATAGTTGATGGTATTTGTTGGTTTTACCCTCTGGTTATTTAACATAGCCATGGAAAATCACCATTTGTAATAGGTAAACCATCTATAAATGGGCCATTTTCCATGGCTATGTTAAAAAACCAGAGGGTGTATATTATATATATATATATCAAATTTATTATCAATTGGTATAGTTGATTAAACCAACGCCTTCATGTGCAATCAATCAAATAGTTGAGTGGTTGCTGCTTTTAGATCGTTGGTTATTTAAAGTAGCTCTGGAAAATGGACCATTTATAGATGATAATGATGATTTACCTATTAAAAATGGTGATTTTCCATGGCTACGTTAGATAACCAGAGGGTAGATCTTTTTCATTTCAAGCGTATTCGTGGGATGATTGCAGCACCACTGAGTACTGCTGATGTGGGAGGAAAACAAGAGAGTTCACTCGATTCTTGGGGGATAAATATACCCAACAAAGGTTTCTTGGCCGGCACCACATTTTGTGACCAATCGATTCAATAGATCATCTACTTGAATTTAATTGAACTAGTTCAGAAACTGGGCAGAGTGGTATGAACCTGCAATTTGGCTTGGTATCCCATTCCATCATTCCATCCACTGGTGAACCATCTCTTTCCCCAAAAGCTGGAAACCCAATTCGCAGTATGCGACTATTGGACAAACTTATATATTTTACCATGGTTTCCTGTACATGCTCCACAAAAAAGTGTGTACATTCGTGTTTTTGGTTTAAATCATTAGCATTTAGACTACCAAAGCCCGGTTATTTCTCCAAACATCAGAAGCCCTCGTCAGGGCGCCTGTGGCCGTCTCTTGAATCAGAAAGAGGCAATCGCTGTGGATGAGGATCGCTTAAACTCACTTGGGATGTTGAGATGCTGTTTCCAAGATGACCATGGTGTCTGGCTAGTGGGAAATCACCTGGAAACAATTGGGAAAGAATTAGGTCCTAGGCATGATAGTCATGGGTATAACTCATGATCCAGCTATAAATGGGATATCTCAAGGTTGGGGGACTTACTAACCATGCTTGCTAACTTCTTGCTTCTTGCTATCCAAGCAGGATGCTAGGGTTAAATGCTGGGTAGACAGCATATAGCTAGCTAGTATGGCATGTGCAAAAATGACTGCGCATCTACTCAGTGGTGAAGGACCCAGTTTTATTGGTATGCCCAGCAACTTGAGCATTGGTAGATTTGTAGCTACATTCCGCTATGTTTCATATCATTGTGGTAGGTAGGTGGCTGCGAAAATATTCCATCGGTGATGGCTTTCCAACCCCGGTTGGTGCGTGTCTCCTGCGTAAAATCACTTTTCGCACACTCACCATGGACTAAAACCCAATGATCCATCATTTCTTCGCTTGTATCAGCTTACATGGAGGTTTCCATTTCCATGGGGGGTACCCCCAAATGACCATTAAAAAAGATGGAATTTTCAGCAAACAAACTAAACAAACCATCCATTTCTGGGTATCAGGAAACCCCCATAATTACTATACGATGTTTTTTTGTAAAGTTTGCAAATTAAAACCTCCATTCAACTCACCATTCGAATGTCAGCAAATGGCTCAGATTCCCATTGAAAAAACAGCCTCCATTTCTGTACTGACTGGAAATCCTCGTTGCCACTAGCGCAGCATTTTAGATTCATTGGTCCTTGTTTTTTATCTGTTTTGTTTTGCTCAGTAAACTTCGTCAACACCTCCGAACTTTTGTAGCTTAGACATTCTCAAAGCTCTATGTTTCTAGGTGAAATCTTAGAAACCACGGTGATTTTCTTGCAATGTTCAACAATGTGAGGCCCCCAAGATAGCCAAGTTGGTTTATAACTCCAATAACTATGGTTTATGGTACGCAAATAACTAACTAGTTACTGGGGCCTTTGTTAACAAACTAACATCACTGGGGGGCCTCCCAGCTCCGTCGGTGAAAAACATCTCAGGAGTTGATGGCCTCACCGGGCTTCAGTGTGGATCAACTCATGGAGCTTGCAGGCGATGCTTTTTTTAGCGCGCCCTTAAGATGGGTGGTATTTAAGCACCAAATCAAAAAGGGAAGGGTTGATGGTTGATCAGATTGTTTTAAGCACATTATGATTTTTGTGAACTTTTCGTTTCTATTTTGTTTTTTGGAGGACATAAAGCCAGAAAAAACAGTTGAACTATAATACATATCCCATCATTTGTGAATTGAATGGAGGACATTTAACCATATATCCCATCATTTCAATTCATTTCAACTGGTTTCACACAGGTTTGCAAGGGACAGCAGGTGGCAATCTGGCCGGAACTGTGGGACGATAGCCAGCGTTTTCCACTGGTTGTTTTACGTTGGATCTCACATGTTTTGGCTTATTCATATTTTGTCTTTCAATTTTTTCAATATCTTTATATAGTTGCCCTAAGAATTTGGTATCTTGATATATTTTATATGCCAAGACTGGGGGAATAGCGTACCCTAAACACAGGCATCCAAGATTGGCCAGCAGAGCACAGGACTTTCAGTGGCCTGCGCAGTTGCGACCGCCTTTCCACGGGAGCAGTGCGGGTTCCTGGAGCTGTAGCGTTTTCTTTGAGGCCTCAGCAGAAATAGTTCGGATTGGGGCGAAACCATCATATGACCTTACAGGATGGTGCCCCCCAGTTATAAGTTGGTTTATAAACCCCATTAACTATAGTTATATCTGCCATAAACCATAGTTATGGGAGTTATAAACCAACTTAGCTAACTATGGGGCACCACCTTGTAAAGATATAGGATTTCTTCTCAAATATCTAGATTCATCATGATTCATCCAGTTTCTGTTAACGGTAAGGCACTCTGCTGGTTGCTGATACCAATCCGCAGCTGGATTGGGAGGTACGGCACCAATCCTGCCGTGCTGCTGGTGTGTGGGCCCGGCAATAATGGAGGAGATACTCGGAAGACGGAGATCATTGGAGGAAAAGGTAACACATTCCTAAAATGACATAGATGTTGACATAGATTTGTTTGCACTTTTTTTTTGGTGTGAGAGATTTTGGGCAAATATGTCATGATGTTTTGATATGTTTTGCATGAACGTTGTCATTTGGCGTTTTGCACGCAGTTTCAGAGCACCGTATAGGTCCATGACACAACCTGTGCTCCCAGCTTCGGTCAAGAACCACCTGAGGATGGCTTGGTTGCTGCCAGACATCTCTATCATTTCGGCCCGGGCGCCATGTCATGGTGGATATCAAGCGGTCAGCCGAAGTCAAGAGATATTATGATCATGCGTTGGTTGGCAATTTCTATCCACTAAACAGTTGAAGGGAATGGCAGAAGCTGAAACCGGGCATAGCCCAACCGTGCCGATGGATTTCTTCAGGGTACCAACTTCTCAGATAATTGACCATGCCGTGTTTTGGTTCGTTGTGAACATGCATTCATGTTGCAGATCAGACAGAGAACCTTTTCCACACCGCTTCCAAATTGAACTTTGACAAATTCACTTTTCTACATTGACAGGATCCCAATAGCGTTTAAGAATGGTTAAGATATGGCCAATACGTCCCGCAACATATCAGCAACCAATTTTTTCAGTGGTTTGGTGGTTTGGATTAGGGATACCCGGTGTTTTTGTCACGGATTTTTCGCTGAGGTTATGCTCCACATGTCATCTATCCCAAGGCGAATCAGAAAAGTCAACTCTTCGTGACTTGGCGAGGTTCAACTTAGTGACTTAGCGCGGCTGGAAGGCGAACACTTGGTGAATTCTAGTGGAAAATTAGATCATGTCATGTCAATTACCATCTGGTTATGACTAACAGTTAGCCATGGTTTTTCGATGGCCCTAATCGAAATAGATGGTTTACCGTTTTTAATAGCATGGGTGGATTTTCCATGGCGAACTGGCAATGTCATAACCAGATGGTAGATCATGTCAAACAACATCTGAAACAAGATTCTTGCATCGATGGCGGTCTCCCATCAGGCGAGTCCAATGAGGTTTTGATGATTTTCATGACTTGCGAAGTGAAATTGAGAAGTTACAACTTATCCATTGATGACACATATGTTAAAACAGGCACCCCATGAGAACTGCTTGTTATATCATGTTATATCATGTTATATCCACATTCTCCACGGTGATGAAGCCCCTTTTTCACCCGCTTTAAAAGATTCCGCCCAGTAACAAAGCACCCAGGATGGGGGTTGATATCCTGATGTATCAACCATGGATATCTAGGGATGATATCAGAGAGAAGTATCCTCCTTTTCCGCTTATTGAACGTAGCTTTTTGGAAAATCCCATAGCTACAAGGTGGTGCCCGAGTTCGTTAGCTAAGTTGGTGCAAATAAGTCCAATAACTATGGTTTTTGTTGGTGATATATCTATAGTTAATGGGATTATAACCCATTTATAACTTGGGGGGGCACCACCTTGTATGTTAGTCATATCCAGAGGGACAAATTGCCGATGGTTTAGACGGTCTAACGACCGATGATCCTCTACCAGAACGCCGAAGAACTGACTTGGATGATTGGGTCACCCTAGCGTTTGATCAAAGATGGCTAGCTGGAAAATCCTCTAGAAATGGCGGTTGAAACGCCTTGTTGAGAAGTGGATTTTCGCCAAATTTGATTAGCAGAGGGTATTCTCACATTGTTCCATGCACGGGTTGATCGCGTCAGGTCAACTTGACTACGCAGCTGGCGCAACTGTCAGTGCGCCAAGCCGCCTTTCGGCCGCCTGAATTGGATTCTCCGTGGCGAAGAGTAGACAGTAGAAGCTCATGGATTCTTTTAAAGGTGACAATGTTGAGTGCATCTATTTGGGGTTGTGGAAGGCCATTTTTTTGCTTCCAGGATGCTAAAAATAACTGGCCCAAGGCATTCTCTCAAAAAATCAACAGCTTTGTTGTTCTTTCCAAGATTTGGGTAGGTCTGAAAGTCGGGGACACGGGATCCGCCCCCAAAATACTGAATAATAGTGAACATGACGGTAAACCAATGGCTTGAGGGGAGCAATATTTCAGACAAGCCGTCCATATCCGTCCATATTTTCTTTCGGATTCTAATCATTCTAATCTCACTGATGATTCACCCGAAAAGGGAACATCAATGATAAACATCTAGTGATTTCTTTGGGAAGACTCCAAGGTGGGGTACAAAAAACATCACTGCGGTGGGAGATTTGGGTGCCAGGTACCGGTAGAAGCAGCGCTCCCGGAGAACTTAGAGAGATACTGCGTGGTCGTGGATGCCATTGCCGCTTGCCTGCCTGTGAACAGAAGTTAATCCAAAATTTTCGTGGATCCAGTTCTAAACCAAGGCTGAAATAAAGGGCTGTTTGAAATAAAGGCTGTTTGGGATGATTTGGTATCCGATGGCCAAGATGATTGTCATTCAGATTGGCATACTGGCCGCGTTTTTTCATGGTCGAAACAATTCGAACCAATTCGACACATCCGTCAGTTCACGTTTCACAAGATGCTTTCCCAGGAAAATCTTATGATTCTCCGGCAGAAATGCCCTCCTTGCAACGCATCTATTCGGGGAAATTTGTCAAACGCGACCTCCCAACGACCTCACCAAATTAATGATGGTCAGTACCAAGAATCCAAAATCGCTCAAGAAATCAGCTTTGACTTTGTGAAGCATAAATCATCATTTTTATCCATCTAAATGTTTCAACATCCAGACAAATCCATACAAGGTGGTGCCCCATAGTTAGCTAAGTTGGTTTATAAGTCCAATAACTATGGTTTATAGGTGATATATCTATAGTTAATGGGATCATAACCCATTTATAACTTGGGGGGGCACCACCTTGTATAATTCCCCATTTTTCATGGTGATGCCTCAATTTTCTCCAGTGGACCAACCTGGCCTTGCCGATCCGGCGCCAGTTTGGATTCTCCTTCAGCGGTGCGGTGCGTGCACCCTTTGATGAGATCATCAGGAGCCTGGGGATCTGACTCAAGATAGGAAGCTATAGGTTTCGAAGATTTTATAACAGTTTCATGGGATTATAGATGTTTATATGTTAGAAGATAGTTTATAGATACCTATAGGTTTCATGGGATAAACAAAGATAGTTTATAGATGTTAATAGTTGATCAACATGGGGAAACCCAATTTGGTGTATGATTCTTGGGTTCACCATTGGTTTTTCATGTGGGCACCCCAAAATCGTGGTGCCCAATAAACCTACTGACCATGACTGGGGATGGTTTATACCACCCATAAACATGGTGATTTTCGAGATGGTTTATTATGTGCTTTATCACATTAGGTTTACCAGGTTTCTCCATCGGTTTCATGGTGATTTTTCACCAATAGGTCTGGGATTAATGTAGCCAAGAGAAAAATATGGGACCTTGGGACCTAATCATGGGAATTTCGCCCCAATATATGTATATGATTATATATGTATTAGTATAATTATGTATTTATTTATTTATCTAATTAATTAATTTATTTATTCATTCACTTATTCATTTTTATCGGATTTTGACAGGGAAACTTGTGATGAACCAGCGGCTGGAATGGCATACCATATATTCAGACAAAGCCATATATTATGATTTATCTTCCTAATGTTGTTGTTTTCCAAGTATTGTGATACCAGCAAACTGGAAACAACCCAAACGATTGGCAGATGAGGATCATCTCCACTTCCTACGGGATAGGTTCTGGATGGTTCTTCTTGGTTCACCAGGCTGGAATCTTCCCAGAGCCTCATGCCATGACTTCCCTCTCGTGTGCGACCCTGCCGCGACCATCAATGTCATGCATCAAAAGGTTTCGCAATTGATTTCTGGGCAGCCATTGTCAAGGAGAAGCCACCATTTATTGGTTCCATGCACAGTATCTACCCACACTGATTGATTGAATCCAAACCACCACCACCGTGCTTCTAACTTATTATGACTCGAAACCCGCGGGACCATTTTGGGATTGTCTCACACTTTGGAGCTCCCTTCCATGGTTTAACAGCAGCTTCCCCAGTTTTATACCCCCATATATGGAGGTTTCCTAAATGGGGGATCCCCAAAACCTTGGGTTTCAATACTAAAAGGATCTAGTCTCGGATGATTTGGGGGTACAGCGGAACCGTTAGATAAGAACCGATTAAGCATTTTCCAGCCTACCCTGGGGTTCTTAAGTGCTATAGGTGGAAAATATGGGAATTATAAATGAGGGTACCCTCAAGTTCTTAACGGGTTAGTTCTTAAAGGGTTCATATGGTGAGGGTTCTTAGTAATTTCCCAATTTAGAACTATGTGGAAATAGTGCCTCCGGAGACAGCTCTGCAAGCAGTGAATCCAAAACAGAGCAGCCATCCAAAACAGAGGCAGCACGGGCTGAAAAAGCACACGCGCCAACACATGCAGAAAGGGATTTGTTGCTGCGCAGCCGTAGAAAAAATAGGTCGAAACGTTAGATAAAAGGTTGGCAGACCCTAAGGCCAGAGAGCCAATAGCTCAGTTGGTAGAGCGTCAGCCTAGCAAGTGGGAGGTCGAACCCCTACAGGGCATCTTGCACTTTGTGGACCATACATGGTTTCAGCTTTAGCTTTCCTTGAGTTGTCTTTATCTGCAGCACATGAGTTGGATGTTCCCGCTCATGTTAAGGGGAAGAAGAAAGGAATCCGTCCAACCAGGTTTAAGAAAAATATGCAATCTTTGATCATATTTGGTATATTTATACCCGTTAAAGGGGAATAAGAACCAGTGCCTAGAATTCCAGGGTACCCTAGGGTTCTTATTTCAATTAGCTGACAGAAAGGGTTGACTCCAGCAATCCAGCCCCTGGTTTCACTGTGCCCTCCAATGACTTGGATGATGACTGGGGGTACCACCATGATTTAGGAAACCTCCATATGGGTTTGCCCCTAAGGTTCGTTGAACTTGAGCCACACTCCCCCCTGCTTTTTGTTCACAGCGCCCTCCAGGAGATTGTCTAGTGGTCCCCCAGTATGGCATCCCAACTGGCAACAACTCGGGTATCAGATCGGGTATCAGATCGGGCATCAGTTACTACACATCATCACAGCAATCTGGGATTGTCCGACATTTTTGTGAGAAACCTTCAAATCCCCGGCTGTACAGGTAGCACCATTTTTGGACAAACTCTACTACTGCCTTGTGGGTTTGCCTAAAAAGGAAATATCTGCGTCTGTCGACCGCCAGACGAACCACCATCGGAAAATCATAGGCGCCATAGCGTCTAGCTTCTCGGGCCGGGCAAGTGTTGACATGTTCAATCTTCAATTTCCGTTCTTCACATATTTTCAAAGGTTTTTGTCAAGTGAAGAGCGCATGCAGGTGGTAAGTTTTTCAATCATGAGTTGTTTTCAAAGATTTCAGACGGTTTCCGGCAACTCACTTTGCCAGGTCCCATTTTGTCTTCAAACTTCGTGGTGTTTCCAACACTGATGGGGCGACAAAATCGATGATTTTTGCCAGATTTACCATCCTTTAATCAAACGTGGCGAGGGCGGCTAGCTGGCAAATCCCCAAACTCACTGGAGGTTTTAGTGGGAGAATACTGTAATCAGTAATCTATAAATGTTTGATTGCCGCAGGGTAAGCAAGTTGAATAAGTTGAATCATCCGCCGAGCTAGCCAGTGAAAACCAAACAATAAGAAATGTGGGGACTATGATCCTGATGCTGCTAACCAACCAGAGAAAGTTGTCTGCCAGCTTGGCGTTGTTAAGAATCACCCAACAATACCAGCCCCCGTTTATTGAAATTCCTGCGCAAGGAAACCCGTGCTTAGTACGAATTATATAAATGTATTCAGAGCTTGGATTTGTGAGTCTTGAATCTTGGTTTGTTTGAACATGGGATGCCTCCAATTGAACATCAATGATAATCCTTCTTCTCAATTTGTGTGTCTTTTCCTGGATGTTCCTGATGTTTGTGCAGATTCAATATCATGTCATTGCTTAGGCTGTACTGTATCCTTCCATGATATCCTCTTTCTCTTTACCAACCAACAGTATTTTTCGTAAAGAAATCGTATATCCTACTTTCTTTTTCCCTATTATATTGTAATCATTAATTGCATGCTATTATAGTCCATCCCCCTAATATTAAACACCCCCATTCTATGACCCAAATATATGATTTCATGCCCTACTAAACCATACTAAACCATGGTTTCTAGGTGTTTTATATTAGGGAGCAGCGATTATATTGTAGTTTTGCCGAGAAATCATATATTTATATCCATTGTATCCTATTTTTATTTGTTTTCCTATTATCATTATTACTTATACAATCACATTCCATCATATATTTTAACACACACACATATATACCTGTATATATATATATTCCATTCTCATTCTTCACATAGATTACATATAAAATACATTCCTATCCTAGTATATTGCATGATATCCTTGACAAACTTCATAGGATCGCTCTCCAAGTTGAGGTCCTTTCCGTGGACATCCCTTCTGGATGGGATGTGGAGCAAGGTCCTCCTGCAGAGGGTGTGACCTTGCAACCAGGTGGCCCGAGCCGTGGTGTGCCACGGTTTTTGGATGCATTTCTCCTCGGGGTGTATGGATAAAATGGTGATTGGATTATCCAGGATAATCCATGTTTAATTTGATGATGAATGGAGATCATTTTAAGAATGGACAGTGACCCCAAAACGAAAAAAAACATGAATAACTAAATATATGAATGGCGATTGAATGGTGATTTAATCTTCATTATCATCTGGGTGACCCTAGAGTGGTCACTATCGTGGTTAATCATTTTAAAATGGTGCAAATGATGATTAATTATCATGTTTTGGGGTAGCCCAGATAACACAAGATGAAACCATCTTAAGTCCCTGGACATTTTGAGTGAAGGGCCTGAAGGGCTAGGAAAAAACAGAGAAATTCATGGCTGGGATGTAGGCGGCTGGAAGGTTGTTGATGGCTCACCAAGCCCTCCTTTATCAAGGTTAATAAAGGTTGATGCTGCTTGAAATCTAGAATCTAGAACATATCCGAAGAAATTATCGGAAGAAATATCGGTCCTATCAAGTCCTATCGTAACACTCGAAGCAGTGCGGAATTTCACCGCGCCCCGCAGCTTTGAGCCCTCCAGAGCGGTGGCTTGTTGGTAAGAAGAGAGCCAGGCCAACTCAGTCGCAGCCAGGCCAACCACTGGTCAACCACCAGAAACTTTGAACTTGTTTCCAGCAACAACCTGGCCCAGACGCTGAATGGTAGAGAGGACTACCCTCTGGTAAACTAACAAAAAACTATGGAAAAATCACCATTTTCAATGGGTAAATCCATTATAAATGGCCATTTTCAATAGCTATGTTAAATTACCAGAGGTCTTTTTTGGTGTGGTGACCTGGTGACCCCAATTGGGGGTCCAGCCGACTCCAGCCTCACCGCAGTAAGGGGACAATCCCACCTGCTTCCCACTTCCCCCGTTCCAAGCCACCTTCAATCCCAAGCTGTTCCGTTTTTGACCAAAAAACCCTCATCACAACCGAATCTCAAACATCCTCTGAATCTGACGTGCCAATCAAGTCCCCATTTAAATCATTTAAACATACTTCTTCACCAACCACAAATCGTTCACCAACCATTCACCAAATCTCCAAGACTGGCCATGACTGAGCCGCTGGAACGCAGTGACCGACGGCTCTTCTTCGCGGTGCTCTTTGCCCACGGCTACGCCCGGGTCTTGTCGAAGTTGGCCTCGGCACCGCTGGAGAGAGTCAAGGCACCATCCTATTGACCAGGATTTCTTGGGCCATGGACCAGAATAATGAATCGTCTCAAATAGGTATGTACTCAATCATAAACCAAATTGGGGGTGTTTTTTTTTTTTTAAAACTGGATTTTCCAGGTTATAGTAGATACTGTAAGTGGCTTCATGAACATATTATGATAGTTATAGTATTGTAGTATCCTCAGTAGAATCCAACAGCAATAGGGCCACCTAACTGATTTAATCACCGAAATATCATCATTATCATCATCATCGTCGTCGTCTCCTCGGTCGTCGTCGTCATCATTGTCATAAGAAATAATGATAGTAATACTGTATAGTAATGCATCATAATACTATATAATAATCATGCTAATCATAATGCTTATAACAATAATACTGATACTAATATGGTCAATAATAACAATCATCATCATCATCATCATCCTCATCCTCATCATCCTCATCATCCTCATCATCCTCATCCTCATCATGATCATGATCACCATCAGAATAATGATCATCATAACTTTTGCTATTCTTTTTTTGTCTATTGATGCGATCTTGGTTGATTCTCACCAATCCAATTGTAGATATTAATCCACGATAAAGCCCAGGCCCAGCCTCGATTTTTGTTGGCGAGCTTTTGGGTGGGATTTTCAGCCCGTTTCTGTGATTTACTAGGGATAATACCCTCTGGTAAACTAACATAGCCTATTGCTATGGAACATGGCCATTTATAGTGAGTTTTCCCATAAAAAATGGTGATTTTCCATAGCTATGTTAAATTACCAGAGGGTAGTCTTGGATAGGGAACTCTCAGATTGGGGCTATCTGAGTTATACCTGGCTTTACAAACAGGGTTACATCGCGATTACGAAGAACTTCGCGGATCCATGATCTACCCTGGGCCATCGCCCTGGCATCAAACAACAGAGGACCTACCGGAGAACAACCCATATGAGGTATCTATCAGAGTGTCATGTAAACACACTGGGTACCCTCTGGTAATTTAACATAGCTATGGAAAATCACCATTTTTAATGGGAAAATCCACTATTTCAATGGCCATTTTCAATAGCTATGTTAGTTTACCAGAGGGCAATTAGTCTTCCAGCATTTTTTGGACGTTTGATGAAACTCAAGTGGGGTTCATGAGGCTTATAAACAAATTGACTGCATATGGGAGTGAGTCCAAAGACGATTTTTTACATCTGCACAAACGCATACACAGAAAAGTGGCCATTTTGACTACTTGGGGCTGGGGAATCAGGGCGGCTTCACTTTCTGCAATTGGGGTGGGAAGCGCGGCTCGGCTGAAGCCAGCTCATAGAATGGTTCTGTATTGGCTTATCCACATCAACCATTACTTAGATTATAGTTGTATACAATCTAATCTAATTCTAACACATCCCAAGCAAGCAAACCCCCAACCCCATGATAAACTCCTGACTTGCTATGAATTAAGTTTTGATGGTAAAACATCAAATTAAGATTATTTCAGATGGTTAACCCCCCCAGTGTTCACAACAAGACTCTGAATGTAGACTTAAGTTCACATGCTTGAACCTCCATTCTTGATGCTCAACTCCAAATTTTATCGATGAAAACCACGGTTTGTTTTTTCCACGTTTTTCGATCTTTTTTTCCAACGGAAGCTTCAGCGCCAGGTGTGTTTACAGGTAGGACTTCCAGCAGGTCAACCGGGACTCATGGCCACCCTCCAAAGCCTGATTCGAAACCAAGGACGATGCGTCAGTGGTGCGAACATTGGGGTGGTTTAACAAACATAAGGAACCAATAAACATCAACAAACATCAACAAACATCAACAAATAACATCAAAAAACATCAACAAGCACCTGATTTTGTTGGGGTATTCAAAAATCCTGATGTCATCCACGAAATGTGAACGACTGTTAGTTGGTGTAAACCCCATTATTTTGGGCAGACACTGACAGGGATTCTACAGATATTTCCCTAACGATTTCATGTGTCGTTTTCGATCGTTCAAAGTTCACTGGCAGGAATCTTGGGAAGATTCCCGAATTTGTGTTGCTTCAACACAAAGATATTTCATGAAATTTCATCAATTTTCATTATATCCCATCATATCCCAGTTATATCCCCACTGTATCCTCATTCTTTCTTCGTGGACGAATCGGCCATGAAAATCCTCCATCCCCCGTATCGGTCTCAGCGGCCGCAGGATACCGCGGGCTCTGGAGGGGTTCGGCCACCCACGCGGCAGCGTCGATCTTTGGAGGCTTCGCGCGCTTGAGTGCACTGAGGAGAGGGGAAATATCCTCTGGTTATGTCAAAATAGCTATTGAAAATGGCCATTAATAGTGGATTTTCCCATTAAAAATGGTGATTTTCCATAGCTATGTTAGTTTACCAGAGGGTAGGAGATGGAATATGCTACATATATCAACTGATGGGTATTTAATCCCACAAAGTCTCCATTAATCTCCATTAATCCTCATTAATCCAGATGATATGATGGAATATATAGCTATATCAACAAGATATTTGGAGGGATGAACATCCATTAACCAGCTATTTTGATGTGAAGAGAAGGGTTTTTCTCAAATACTGCCCAGCTACATCAAAGGAGGACCAGCAAAACTGGGGTGTTTTTCCTAACTATCCTAACTATTCCTAACTGATATAAAATGGCCGCCCATTGGTACAGGATGCCCATTTTCTCGTCGTTCGTTCGACAAAAACATCACCGATTTTGATCGGACGAGGATTCCCATCGACTACCTTCTGGTTATGACTAACAGTTCGCCATGGAAAATGGCCCATAGAAATAGATGATTTTCCCATTAAAACCTCCATTCATAAGGGAAAATCACCATTTTTAATAGGTACACCATCTATTTCTATGGGCCATCTATACCATGGCAAACTGTTAAATAACCAGAGGGTAATACTTTACAGATGGCTCCTCGAAGCACCAAGCAGAAGACTTCGGATACAACGGAGAAGTTTTTTGTGGAGAACTTTATCAGAATCAGGTGCCGGATACATCTTGAACAATCTACATTGAGAATATGACATAATATGACCAATAAACATGGGCATATCTAATATCAAAATTTTGTTAAATGGTGTTATTTGACAAAATATCAACTATTTCATGATCCTATCAACTATTTATTGATCAAACATGAGTCAAAGAATGAGATTTCTGCCTGAAATGTTGATTGGAACCTTGCTGAGCGCCGAGGATTCAACCTGTTTTCCCCTGCGTCCCCTGGGTGTGTCCTGGGTGTGTCCTGGGTGTGTCCTTTTTGTTCTGGGTCCCCTGTTTTTTCTTCAAGGCCGCAGCGTCAGGACAACTCAGATGTGGATGATGCCGGGTGGCAATCGGCATTACCAGGGCTTGGAGGGCTATGTGCGTCGCTGCTCCTTCCTCTACATGTCAGGTGTGAACGAATGTGAACGAAGCGCGGGAACCGGGGCGAGTTGTCCTGGAAAGGGCTTGCTGATGTGGTCCATGTGTCAAAAGCGGTGAGCATCCGCCAAAGGCCGTTGATTTGACACAAACACACACAGTGAATAGTGGACACTAGCCAAGTATGAAGTGGTAACTGGAGTCAATTAAACAAATATATATATATATATCTATATCCCCATCACATCTCCATTCCATTCTCAAATCCCTTCGTTTCATTCCACCAACCTTTTTTAAGTCGCCAGGTGCTGGCGCGGTGACCTTGGTCTATCCCTTAGACGCAGCCTACACCTGCCTGGCGGCCGACTCGACGGACCGCTTCCGCGGACTGCGGCACTTTCTTTCGACGACGCGACGGGAGCACGGGCTGCTGAGCCTCTACCGCGGCCTGCCGCTCTGTCGCGTGGCGGTGTGATGGGAAAAATATGGAAAAATGGGTCGAGATGGGCTTGAGATTCACCGAAAATCGACGATTTCCTTTGGACTTGTGAAGAAATTGGGACAATGATATGGCATTTAAAGACTCCGTACCTGAAATATTCTGGGTTACAACTTGGAACGTGGAACAGCAACATGTTCGTGCCCAGATCAACAAACTCCGGGGGTTGATAGCAAACAACCGACACAGGCGAATAAATCTTCCCCAACAACACCCAGCAGTGCCAACGGAAACCCTAGATCTGATATTATTTATTATGTACCCTCTGGTTATTTAACATAGCCATGGAAAATGGCCCATTTATCATTTATAGATGGTTTACCTGGGTTTACCTATTAAAAATGGTGATTGTCCATGGCTATGTTAAATAACCAGAGGGTATATATATAAAAAATACACATATAGTATATAACCACCAAAAAGATAGAAAGTTGGAATTGGCGAAATGTTCATCTGATGGTGAGATATGGTGAGGTCTCGTTGAGCTACCTAGAATCATCTCACTCGCGAAGGGGATATAATGTTTCACTGTGGTAAGATGTGTAAGGCCGCGGGCTACCAAGTTTTGTGAATTCGCAGCCATATAACAAGTAGACTTGGCTATGCAAACCATAGAAAATGGATGCAGACCTGTAGAATCCTGTAAATCTGGCCCCAATGGAAAGAGGTAAGACATGGTAAGATGGTAAGACTATACTCATCAATTGCGTATTCTATGACTGGTTTGGCCCCCGCCCATGATTCTTTCCATGTGCCTTGAAGAACTCACTGGAGATGCAGAGCTTTTCCCAGAAAAAAACCATGGAGTTTCGCATTGGTTTCAAGACATTTTTCCACTTTTTACATTTGGTGGAAGGGAAAATCAAGGCAACCCCCCCCATTTCCTGTAGATTCCATGATTTCCCCCTGATTTTTGAAGATTCCATGGAAGATTCCGGGGCTTCCTGCAGATGTTCCACGAAAAAATCCGGAAGCAACGGAGGTCTGGTGACAGCCTTGCCGTACATCTGCATAGCGACAGGACTCCACGACCTGTTGGCGCCGTGGTGTCTCAGTTACGACCTGCTGGGTCTGGGGGATGAAGATTTCACTCTCTGACTCCGCCAATCACAAGGGTTCATGATGGTTTATGCTTTTTTTCTTAAATCAATATTTTTACCAGCAACAATCACTAGTAAGGCTTGGTTCACCATCGATTTTTCCAGGGTGACTTAAATAGGAAGGTCCACAACGATGAGTTTTTTGAAATTTATGGCCCTGTGGCCCTATCCAAGTGTGGAACATCATGTGGAACATCATGTGGAAGATGGATTTAAATCGCTTGAATGTTTGATGGTGCTAGTATGTGCTAGTCAGATATGATGGAATGGGATTGAACATTGCACAGATGGGCTATGAATACTTGGGCGAAATGCATTGCATACCAGACATGCACAGGTATTATGCAATTTCGGTGAATACCAGTTGAATGGGTTCAGTGGTTTGAGCATGGGATATACATGAGATGAAAGAACCCCTTGTATTGGCTAGGGGGTCATCATTTTAAGAAAAATGGCAGTGCTTTTGACAGCATTGGAATGGAAAAGCTGGCAATACGTCTCCAACATTCGCACCTTTAGGTATTGGGCTGCCTGTTTAAATGACTCACAAGAAGAGGTTGTTTGAAATCAATGCTGATATCTAAAGCCTTTCAATTACCCATCTTTTAGAATTTCTGGAATGGCCCATCTCCTTTGTTCTTTCCCCCCGTGGTTCTGGAAGAGTTCAACAGTTCCATAGGAGTTCTGCTTCCTGCGCATCCCCAACGCCCTAGAGGTGGGTTTCTTTGAGATATCTAAAGCCTGCCTTGGGTATATCTTGGGTGTGCAGTTCCAGTTCTAACTGGATATACCACCATAGTTTCAGGGATTATATATTATATATATGTAAATCTGTATTTTTCAACTCCGGTGGTCAAAATCCCAAGGTTAAAGCAATGTTCGCCATGTTTGACAAACCCTGGCTGCAAATTGGAGTAGGATTCGTCTCAAGGCCTCCCCGTGACATGAGGTTGATGAAGCAAATGGGCAATCCCCCTTCAGTGGATCAGAAATCCCTGCAGCCGGGTGAAGCTTGGTTGTGGGGTCTGCGGGGTGTTGGTTGGCCGTGTGTTACTATGTTTATAGCATCTGGCTTGATTATTGGATTGTTGTAGTCTGATGATCGCTAAGTAGCATAATCGGATTGGAAACGGGTATTCGATCATGGCTTATTTAAGGGGTCGTACTCCTAGGTAAATCTTGGGAGATTTGGGATAAACAGGCAATCATGAGCCAGTTGTTTCAAGTCCCTAGAATTGGACGGGAAAATCTACAGGAAATGCCTATATTTGGGGATAAGAACCCTGGTTTCCTGTAGATTATGCCCTGAGCCAATCCCTTAATGGAAAGGTCTTTGGTCACATTATTGGGCTTAAGAATCCGCACGCAAATGAGCAAACATTGAAGCCTGGTGAATTGCTCAGTAGACTCTGTTGGAAGTGAGAGTCCAAGGCCTGTTCTCATTGGGCATCGAAGTTGGTGAGTAAAATCTAGACACCACTTGATGTACTGTATCAGGTGTGTTTTTGCGGCCCTGAAATCAGGGATCATAGCTTCAAATTTTGGCTTTAGGACTGCAAGGGTGAGATCTGAATCAGTTTCTCTTGATCCGAATTGGGATCATCAAAGCGGCTCCACACTGAAGTCTCGAAATTGGCCTGGATCAGGACCTCTTTTGGCTCGTGAGACATGGAGCACCTGCGCATTTGTATCCCTGGCCCTTCCGGCATTTTGCGATGGATGAACAGCTGGTGTCACCAGGTCTATCCTGCATTTTTTGGAGTTGGATGCCCATGTTGCTTGGAGTAGATACCCCGACTGTGCGTTTGTTTAAACTTTAAACAAGGGAAACAACCCAGCAGTCGGTGGTTTTTCGAGCATCATTTTCCCCACATTCCGCCAGGAATTTGGTGGTGGGGGCCACTTCGGGCTTCGTGGCTCAAACAGCCTGTGCCTCGTGAGATGTTTTTCAGGGCCAAGGTTTGACGGGCTACATGAAAATCGTTGTTATTCTTTGATTACCCTCTGGTAAACTAACATAACTATGGAAAATCACCATTTTCAATGGGTAAATCCACTATAAATGGTCATTTTCAATAGCTATGTTAAATTATCAGAGGGTATCTTTGATGTTTTCCCTTTTTTCGCAATCATTTTCATGTTATCATATGTTATCTCATGAACATTGTCGCAAACACTCCGTATAAATGCATCAATCTACATATGTCATCACATGTCCTCATGTTAGAAATTGGACTTGAGATGTTTTTTGTGTTATTGTTGTCCAATGTCCTTATTTTGGTGGATGAAATTCATTTGTTTCGATGCTTCAACAATCTCGGCGTCAAATTTCAGCTAGGCCACCTATCCGTTGGACACGCTCCGTCGGAGGCAGGTTGAAGCCCGTGAAACCAATTCCTTGGATCCAACCAGTTCGTTGGTTGAATCATTGTAGAACATCAACATTGAAAAAACATATTCCATGTTGAAGTGAGGATGTTTTAAAGAACTAGCCTAATATTCATCCAAATTCTATCTACTCCAGGACGACTATACCTCTTGGTGGCTGGTTTTGATGATTTCTTTACCCACAGTGGTTTGTTTCGTTGGTGCTTGCTCTGTCAGATTTTCGTACCCAAGGGTCCTCCTGGTTGATCGAAAATGACCAGCATTTTTGTCAACTGATATGTTGAAGAAAACGTTTGTGCCACGGTCGAAAGTTTTTTTTGACAATTTCCCCTAAATCAGGGACGGTCCTACCAGCATCAAGCGGGGTTTAATGTAGCAATGATTTTTGGATTGCCAATATGATTTTAGATGACTGGGAGGGCCATGACTATCCCCTTGGGAAACTTGACCATGGCACTTTTCTGGCGTCAAACTTGGGTGAATTGCTCTTTTTTTGGGGGATGGACATGAATGCATTATTAGGGATTCATATACCTATCAGAATTCCCATTATGGATGACAACAAGCCATATACATCCATATACCATGTAACTTGAGCCTCGCAGCCCGAGCAGCACATATATTTTGGCATTTGTTTGGGCTACCGTCTGGCTATTTGACGTAGCGAACTGGAGAATCCCCGTTTCTTTCATAGGTCAATCATCATTGTTATCATCAAACTAAATGGGCCATGGCTTGCATAGCTATGTTAAAATAACCAGAGGGTGAATCTATCTATAGTTTATAGATTAATTATAGATTACTGTATATATTATATTCCCATATATTCCACATTTTTTTTGTTTTACCCTCAGGGTTTGCTGCTGATCCAGGTGGCAACACACTTGTGCAGGCGTGGGACTAGTGCAGACCAGTGCCCATGGAGGATCATCCAAGGGTACCCCCAAATCAAAATTCGACCAGTATAGTGAAACCCATACATATGTGTACATACATATATAATCATGTATACATATATATATATATCTAATATATATATATATCTAATATATATATATAATTATATATATCTAATATATATATATAATATACAATATACAATATACAATAATATATATATATATAAATGCATATATCATATACATATATATATATATGTCCCATTGAGTTTCCAAACCACATGATAGCAACTGACGTTCATTTCTGCAGGGTGGAGGTATTTGCTTCCACCCTACCTACAGCAATGCTGGCCCAGTTTAATCGGTATCCCATCCCTCTGGATGTCAAACAGCTCCAACAAGGGACCTCAAATCGAAGGGAGAATTCAACATCAGGGGGATACGTTTAATTATTATTTTACCATCTAACCATCAAACCATCAACTTTTCAGTTGAATCTTTCATCAATTCTCTTCCCGACAGCAGAGTTATGGATGTTCATCTCACCACAGTCACATGGGATTTCATAAGTTTTAACTCATGCTGAAAACGGGTTCACCCCAGCTATTGATACTTACTTATTGAAGGAAGTTCAGAAGTCAAACTTCCGACAATATGGACAGATGGAAAAGCAGAGGTGGGAAGAGTCAGAGAAGAGAAGAGAAGAAGAAAGAAGATAAGAGAAGAGAAAGAGTCAGCAGAAAGAAGATGCAGGTGCGCGAAAAGTTTGCAAAGTCGCGAAACACGGTGTTTTTCCATGTTTTTCCAATGATTTGTGGCTCCGGAGGGTCGAAAAGTGGCTCGCAAAAGCGGCAGGTGCAGAGCCATCAGGGGAGATGAGAGATGAAAAACTGCACGCCTTTGTGGCGCAAAACACATTTCCAAGTCAAAACGTACAAAGCACACCACCCCCGGAGCACTTTTGGAAGATGAGATGTTCAAAAACTGCACGCTGTTGGCGGGAAGCACATTTCCAAGTCAAAAGGTACAAAGCACACCAACGCCAGAGCACTTTTGGAAGTTGAGATGTTCAAAAAGCGCTGTTGTGGCGCAAAGCACATTTCGAAGTCAAAAGTGTTAAAGACTGACGGGTTCGGAGCACTTTTTGAAGTTGAGATGTTGAAAACGTGCACGGCGTTGTGGTGCGAAGCACATTTGGAATTGAAAATGCTAAAACGTTCAACCGCACCACGCTGCACTACACTCCAACAAAACACTACAACTACAACTACAACAACAACAACTTCTTCAACTTCAACTTCGAATACATTACAGCTACAGCTACAACTTCAACTACGCAACAGCTTTGCTCCAGCTTCGACTATGCTACAACTACAGCTACCACTACCATTACGCTACAATTAAAGCTGCAACTACAACTGCAACTACGACTACGACTGCAACTGCAATTACAACTACCACTACAACAACAGCTACAGTTACAACTACAACCACAACTTTAACTGTAACTTCAAATGCGCTACAACTACAAGTACAACTAACACTACAACTACACTATAACTACACTGCAACTTACACTACAGCTACACTACAAGTACAACTACAACTACAGCCTCGACTTCAACTTCAGCTGCGCTACAACTACAACGACAACTACAACTACCACTACCACTACACTACACTACACTACAGCTACCACGGCCACTACCACTACCGCTGCAGCAAACTACAACTACAACTGCAACTTCAACTACACAATCACTACAACAACCACTACAATACAACTACTACTACTACAACTACAACTTCACTACACTGCAACTAGTACTGCAAGTACAGCTAAAACTACACTACACCACGCCACGTCACACTACATTCAGCAGTTGTGGGTGAGTTGACCACTGCAACCACTCCAAAAAGCACAGCTCCAACCACCTTTCCGTCCATCAGTGGATTCGCTCTGCCATCCATGCGTCACAACAACTCGCCCCTCCTATAGTTGTCTATCCTGGAAACTTCCGCCACCGCCTTGTGCGGTACGAACTGGTAACTGGTGGTTGAGGAGATGAATGCCGAAACCAATGGAGCTATAACTACCCAGTTGTAGGTGTTCAGCATTATCTAATTTTGAGCAAATTTGGGTAAACCACCATATTAGTTGCTTAAGTTCCCTTCAAGAGAGAAGCACGATGTATCTTGTGATCAGTCATGGTAAATGCCCCAAACAAGTCTACACAAATCCGCATTAGTTGGTTAAACATCCACATATAGGTTGGTTGACCCCCATATTAGTTGATCTAATCCCCCCACTTATACGTGTTTTACTTAACTACTGTGGATGGAAGAGATCCTGCACCACCTTGGATGGTTGAATTCCTACAGATAATATCAAAGAATGGGAAAGACATCTATCAACTGGTGATTTCGCAACCATCCACCCTCTTAACCACTATCAATCATTATTAACCACTATTAACCACTATTAACCACTATTAACCATCAACAGTATCTTCAATTCTTCAGCGTTTCAAGCCGATGCGTCAGGCCGGCGGAAAGACATGCCGGAGTCCCTGAGGGATTGTCCGGGGACCCGTTTCGCGAAACGGGTGACCTCAACAGGTTGGCCCCAAAGAATGAAGGGCATAAATCATAGGTTGATATACCCTCTGGTAATGGCTGACATAGCTATTGAAAATGGCCCATAGAAATAGTGGATTTTCCCATTCAAAATGGTGGTTTTCCATAGTGACGTTAGTTTACCAGAGGGTAAATCATAGGTTGATATATGATATGTCCCCACTAGTTAGACGTACACAAAATATAAGATGATATAAGTATTCTATGTATATATGATTAGATATGCACATTACCATGGGTTTTTCTCCATGTTCAATCCGGGGTTGATTTTACCAGATGTTGGCGCCCTGATAACCCAAGGTGCCCAAAGGATCTACGCTGAAGGCTGGAAACTTCTGGGTGGTGAAATCCAACTTTTTGATGATCAACTCCCATTTTGTTGCTAGTCATCCTGGATCCTAATTTTAGCTGGTAAAATCTCAAATTTGGGTGAACATCACCGGGCCAGTGAAATTCCAATTGCCAACCAAAGTCGTCATTCCATGGCTGACAAGTCACAATTTTTCTGCAGGTGGCCCCACGAGTTTTTACCGCGGCTTGACGCTGAATTCGCTGAAACTCTTTCCAGAGCTCATGGTGCCGAGACGAATAGGATGTGGCCAGATGATGCCCATGGGGATTTAAGCATGGAAAGGGGTTATTTCCGCATAGAACATGGGGTTTAAACATAGAAAATGGAGGTTTAACTTGAACCATGAAAATGTGGAGTTTTTCCGTCAAACTGTGAATGAAATCATCTGATGAATTTGTGCGCAAAACCATGCATGTAAACGTCACAAATGGGCAAGGTGAGCATCCCTCTGAAAAGGTTTATTCGTTTCTTTTTGGGAGGCCCGGGGTACCAAGGTTACCAGGCTTGACTGGAGATACGTGAGCCCAGAGGTACTCAGCGGAGTGTACTTTGTCATCAATGCGTCTGGCAATTTCGTGGCTTGAACGCGATCAATTCTATCAGGCGCTCCTTGGGTGGAGGTCCCCCCAGTGGGTAAAGAAACCAGTTGCTGAGTGATAAGAGTTGGCGTGTCACGTCCCAGAACAAACCAGGATTTGAAGAGTGGCACCGATGGTTGTTGATGACCCCACGACGATGGGTGACGTGGTTTTCTTTGCTTTTGAGTTGACGTTTGGAACTGGTTTCATGACTGAAAATTCCACTGCATATCTCCATGAGATTCCAGGTTCATCCAAAGCGTCGGGGTCATCAAGGTCCATCAATGCTGCAAGGTGTGACGCGGCAGCGATCACTTTGGTGTTCAGAAGCGCTGAGTGGCGGATCATCCCAAGTAGCAAATGCTCTTTTTTTTCTGGGGGAATGGTTTCCCCCAGTGATCAATTTGGACCAGGATTCCGGCACAACAATTTTCGGGGGGATGATCCTGCTGATCCCTATGAGTTTTTTTAGATCCGTCAGACGGATCTGTCTGCGACCTGTTCCAGGCATTTGTAGATGGGATCTTGGTTGTAGTGAACCGTGCGTTCAGGTGTACAAAGTCTACACCCTATAGATTCAGTCGATGCAGAGCTCTGTGTTTTCTCGAGGATCAAAGGGTCGCTGCAAATCGAAGTGCCAACTTCACCCCGCAAGGGTGGATGAACATCCCATTTGATCACCCCGAAAATACTAGAAAACAACTGTGGCTGAAATATCATCGCAAATGTCTCCGCAACCATAGTGGGATGGAAAAACACCTATAAAATCGCAGAAATGACTAGCAATCTTGCAGAAACACCCTGGAAGAAAACCTTGCTGCCAACGGAGGCTCTGGCAATCTAATGTGGTAGGGGGACATGTTCATTTTTGATAGTTAAAATGCCCACCAGGTTGGATGACACCGGGGACAAAAAACATGACGCAGGTTTCTTGATCTCTCTGACCGCTCCCAAGATGTGTGCGGCACATTTCAAGGGTCGCCACTTTTTGGGCGGTCGCTTTGGCTCGGAGTCCCAGCGAATCTTCCTGGGCCATGGGAGCGTGAAGAGTTGCGACATTCTTACACCCATCACCCAGGAAAATTCGAGGTTTTGCAACCGTTACTCACAAGTAGCTAGAACTTAGATGTTTTTTTTGGTGAACACAAGGATTGTCAAAGAATGTCTTGGAAAAACCAGCCGGGGTGTGAGTTTCCGACCTTTCTAACCCACGTCTAAGTGTTTGACGTTTCTATTGTGTTCGTAATGAAGAAATCCTCCGATCTTCAATGTCTCAGAGATTCTATCCTACTATCATCTACTATCACCAGCAATATTACCCCTGTGAAATACCAAATCAGCATTGGCATTTCTTGCTCTCAAATTGTTCGTAAAAAGAAACAGGGATCTTTACCTAATAGCAACATAGACAACGGGGACATTGTTAATATTGGGTGAGTTGTCCAACCTTAAGACTTTAGCACCGTTTTCTTCAGACACGATCTCTTGAATGGGTGATGTTGTATCCAACTGATTTGAATTTATTGTTGATCTTAATAGAAACATAATGAACCCCAATCAACATGTTCATGTACACCATTACACTAATGAATGACGCAAAAGGGAAACATACACGTTTTGTCAAAAATAGCGAACGATTGACGGTTTCAGCTTCAGTTGTGAGAAGTTGGGTTAATTCTCATAGCAACAACTACCAGCAAATACGAGCACCAAAAACGCAAACGATGCTTTTGAACTGTTCAAAAGATGCACGAAGGACATAATGAAATTCAACACCACCAATCAGATCCAGCCAGTTGACTCAGTCGACCAATACCAGCACCCAGCACTGCCAGATATTACACTACCAACATTTCGAGAATGAAAAACGAAGAAAATACCAACAACACCATACTCAGATGTGGTTGGGGCTTAGACACAAATGTGTTAAGATGTGTTAAGTATCCATAAGGCAGGTATTCTATGATATTGTGGCAGAATTCCAACGATACGCTACGGGGATGATTCCTAAAGTTAAGGTCCACGGTTGGTTACTAGTTAGGGTTGTATATGGGTTTGTCTGAAAGTGGGGTGTACCCCCAAATGTTATCTTAATGGGGAAAATTGATTGAATATGGGATTCTTGGGTAGCATATTTTCCGACAGAATATGACCTAGTATATCGAGTTAGTGCGTGGGTGGCAACTGGGTGTTCCCACTACAGACATTTCTCGGAAACGCGTGTGCAGTTCTACTTATCCCGTGGTTATGCAAATCCGAGGATGAGTAAAATGCCCGGTTACCTTCTGTTCACATGAATATAGCTGGGATTTGTGGCTGTCCCTCCAACAACATGTTTTTTCTTGTCCAATGGAACATCCTTTTTTTTATGGAATATAATGTTCAAAGGAAGTTGGGAAGCAATCTTCCGAGTCACAGATGACTTTTACCTGATGAAGGGTGGTGTGGGACTTTACATCCTGCAAGGACTTAGGGAAGTGGTGACCTAGGGAAGTGGTGACGAAGGGAAGCGGAGACCTGGGAAGTTGGTTGCATGATTGCTGTCATGTTTTGTTGCCATGTCTGTTGAGACATGCGGATTAGCCATGTCATGCTGCAAAATGCATTGCGATGACTGCATGAACGTTGCATGGGAGGAAGCCGGAGCACGAAACGTTGTGTTTTTCTGTGTAAAGTGGCTGCAGCCGGCGATGAAAGGTACATCGGGAGGTTCCTTCTAAATACGTTCCATCTGAGCAGCCCAAACCCAATTGCACATGGTTCCCCGTCCCTAAAATATGTTCTTTGATATACCATCGTATTCTATAACCCAGACCCAATAATCGCCACGGAATGGAATAGGTAAATCAGGCACGGCCACCAAATAGAAAATGCTCGGAGAACCCCCCCCGACCGGCCAGCTTTGAACGACCTGGAGCGCGCCAACGCGGAGCTGGGGGCCCTCCTGCCTCAGCTGCGACAGGCCAGCAAAGATTTGGCATAGTAGGGCATAGTCCACGGTTATTTAATGGCATAATAAGGGGAGCAGTAACGGGATAGTTAAGGGGATAGTAAGAATAACGGGGCGACAATACAATACATAATTGGGCAGAAGGCGATAAACAGAAAGAAATAGTTTCGGGGATAGGAACAGATAAAGAGGAGCTAGTTAATGGATAGGTAATGGGATAGTCCAAGGGGATCCACGGGGTTATGCCGCCCAGGCGTGTCAAGGCCTGAGCGTGGTCCGTGAGGCGCAGGCCCAAGGGGTCTGCGCCTCCGAGCTAGTCCCCGGCCACCTCCCAAACGAGGAGGTGGAAGCACGCCACGGGCGGCTTTATGGCCACGCCAAAAAAGGTCGTGCACCGAGCCCGGACGGCGAGGCACCGGGCAGGGGGCAAGGATGTTGTACCGGACGACGCCTTGCACCCCTTGGCCCGCCCGCGGCAAGCACCAGCAGCTGCGAAATGGGACTGGGTGGGCACGAAAGGGCGCGTGCGGGCCCAAGGCCCCTGCTGGCGGCCATCGTGTCCAAGTCCCGACAGCTGCAACGCAGGTGCAGGGTGCCCAGTACATCTGCGGCTGCAGGAGCAGCACGGGCGGGATACGGAACAGTACCTGCGAGCAATGCTCGCTGAAGGACCGTTCCATCCTTTCAGCAAGCATGCGAGCCTCAACGAGGTCTCGGCACGCTTCGGGAGAGATGTTCCGGCGGACTATCCCTTGCCGGTAGCCCCGGGCCACGTGCGGAAAGCCAAGCACACCTGCCGCCGGCCCGACTGCCCGTTCAAGGGCACGGACCGCGCGTGCAGGGGCGGCCGTGAGTGCGAAGGCCGCGCGCGGCTTGGATCGTTTCAACGCGTAATCGGTTCTCCCTTGGTGTTCTGCAACGCGGGGATGAGAATCGCATTGTAATGGCTGCATGGATGTGTACGTGGTGCTGCAAAATGCATGGTAATGGCTGCATTCATCTGGCATGGGACTTGTGTTGGGGAGGAAGCCGGAGCACGAAACCGTGTGTTTTTCTGTGTAAAGTGGCTGCAGGCTGCAGGTTGAGCTGTGCTCAGATGAAGTGAAAATAGCCAAGAAGAACTTAGCTGACATATGAGAAGACATGAAATGAGATGAGAAGAGCTCGGATGAGATGAGTGCAAGTGTGAAGTGTGGAGTGCGGGGTGTGAAGAGTGCAGTGCGAAGAGTGAAGAAAGTGTTCCCTTGGCGTTGCATTGCGCCCGGGTCGCGCGCAGGTCCTGTTCTTGGACAGCAGCACAGCATTCTGGGAAAAAACACGCACGCACGGGCCTCGCTCGCGCACGGCGCATCCAAGTTCTATAGATGAGAAAGGCCTTATAGTATAACTCTAAGGCAACTTCCGCCCCGCCTCGTGCCGGTACTACTGGTAAGTGGATCTACAACATCACAATATTTCACACTTATAGAGGTTCTATCCCGTCTAATGAGTTCTAGCCATGTTTTTCAACCCAACAGTTCGTTCGCCCAGTGGCTGAAACTCACCGTTCGCCCAGTGCCACCTGGCATCGTGGAGAAGTATCAGTTGAAGCTGCCTATTTATCCTGGCATCAGCCAGGTCGCTGGACCTGGGTTGATGGGTTAAGGACGGGTTGGGGATGGGTTGATCGTGGTTTCTAAAGTTATACTGTAAGTGTTCTACCATTAAATATGCGTTCTAAGCTGATTTAACCACCAAGGATCGATTGGAAACCAACAAGCTGACAGCCTGCGATGAGAGTTTTTGAAGTGTTTTTTCAGTGTCCTCTAGATGGACTTGAAGCAAGTGGCCAGATTCAATTGGTTTCCTCTGGAAGTGTGAATTTCCATCTGGCTATTTTCGTATACACAGGGGAAAAACATAGTTCATGCATGAGACATCATTTATCCCAGCAAAATTGGAGACCTTGGAGACTTTCGCCCATCAGAACATGGGTTTTGGTTTCAAAAACTGGGTCCGGTCATTAGAAACCTTCGAAGTCACATCCCCATCAGTTTAGCTGTTGAGTGTGTTAAAGTTTTTTTTTTCAGTCAACAACCTATTGAAAGAAGTGCTATGGATTCCGTCATGGCTACCGCCATCACGGTCCGCAGGTGGTCGAATTGCCCAACTGAGAGTGGCGCTGCCAAAGTTCCACCAGAAAAAAAACACATGGCCCATAGACAAAAAAAGGCTTGCGTATACTTTTCAGGTCAGAAACGCAAAACCAAAAAATCGTTTGCCATTGTGCGCACCAAAAAATGCACCAAGATTCATGGGGTAGTTCGACCAATCCCGGTGCTTCACTGGTAACGCTCAGGTTTTCTAGAAAAACCAGTTGAAACTAGTTGAAACTTCAGGAAAACACCATTTCTCTTTGGTCATAAATTTCATAAATGGGGGTTTCATTCCCATCAGAAACGCCTGAAAATCTGCTTGCACCGAAAATCGATCCACAGTTCACCGCCCAGCGATCTCGTGCACGAAGCCGCGAGAACGTGGCGCCGGGGAAAAGAAAAAGGCTGGTGGATATGGAGGTTTCCTGAAATGGGGGTAGCCACAAATCATCCAAATTTAGACCAGCTTAATATTGAAACCCATGGTTTTGGGATCCACCATTTTAAGAAACCACCATATGGGACCAAGATGGATAAAGTCTTAGGGTGAAAGATATCCTTCCCATTTGTAGATGATTTTCCCAGCGAAACCTCCAGTGAATTCGGGGATTTCCCAGGCATGTTTGATTTCGCTGTATAAAGATCTACTTGGGCGTGATGTGCATACATACAAACATAATATTATATATATACATATATACATATATATATATATATTCATATATACAAATAATATTCATATATATATATATTCATATATACACATAATATTCATATATATATATATATACATACACACATATATACACATACATACATACATACATACATACATACATACATACATACATACATACATACTTACTTACTTACTTACTTACTTACTTACATACATACATACATATATATATATACATAATATATACACATATAGATATATACATAATTATTAGATGTAACTAGCTTGTAACATCTTGTAACTGGCAGGATCTTGGCGGGTCCGGTCACCAATCTCCACTTGCTGCCTGTTGGTTCTGATTTCTTCACGTGGATGGCATTTTCGCTCTTTGCGAAACATCGAATTTATTGTCCAAAAAACGGATGCCACTCCGATTTCGTCCAATTTCCATATATTTCCATGGGTTTACCATCATTATTGGAGGTTTATTTTTCAATTTCATCAAAATTGTGATTTTGGGGTATACCATGGTATACCATATTTTTATACCCCCATTCCGGACAACGCCAAATACACTGGCCCCTGTCCCACTTCAATTTAAGGCTGGTAACCCAATGATGAACCTCCGATTGGGCGACCTTCACCAAAATTGGGATAGGTTTATGGCATTGGGTAACCCACATTCTCCCATTTTTGATGGTCGTTTCCCAATTTTTGATGGTGCCTTGATTTTGGGTCTGCACATTTTTGATGGTGGATCTAGAATTTAGGCTCTCAAGGTTACATCCCATTTTTGGGTCATTTCTTCATCCAACATCCAGTGCTTTTACATCACCTCGCCATAGCTCGCCGTATCGCTGATGGCAGGCATCACCAAGAGGTGACAGCAGGTGTCCCTATAGAGGACCGACATCCACAGGTGCCACTTTGGGATCCGAGATGAGGAAATCATTGATCTTTGGTTTTTTTTTGGTGGTTTGGCAACCATTTTCTGGTTGGTTGAAAGAACATGTTTCAAAGAGTGTATATTACGAGTAAATCATTGATTTCAAACAAATTTCTGGTTTAAGACATAAAAGGGTGATTGATTGATCTTTAATGACTCTGATTCTTTGGATGACTGGCTCAACCAATCAGTGATGTTTCCCTTTTTCAACACGCAGCGCAGCGAGGCGTACCTACAGGAGACAGAGGATCCTGGGAAGTTCCTGTGGGCCTTCTCAGACTGGGGATCAGTGGGAATTAACACGACGGATTTCGACGGATTTTACTATCCAGAAATGGTTGTTGGTTGATGGTTGTGCACTCATGGTTGATACGAAAAACATGTGCACATAAACCTGTGAAGATGGGGAGAATGCCAGAAACAATGGTAGCAAGAGAGAGGATACAACCTGCAATGATGATCGGTTGATGGTGACAGCATGTTTGAGCTTGTACTGACTGGCTTGATGCGGATTATGGACTACAGCAATCCACGGACTGGGAATCGGAGGCTCAAACCACCCAGTGCTATGGGTATAACAATCAAACCTGGCGACTGGCTCGATTTTTCTCTTTTTCCATAGGTAATCATCTACAGATGCCATGGGTCACTGCTAGTTTGAGCCAAGTTGCAGGGTAAAATGGACCGTCGCTAAGCCTAGCCTAGTGTGTTACCCTCTGGTAAACTAGCATAGCTATTGAAAATGGCCATTTATAGTGGATTTACCCATTATAAATGGTGATTTTCCATAGTTACGTGAGTTTACCAGAGGGTAGTTCCTTCAAAAGACCATCCCGTCCTCCTTGGACCCGCCAGGTATATCCCAACAAGGGAGTTCCGGGGGAAAGAAACCGAGGACTTCAGAGACAGCACAGAGGCGGGCTGAACGAGACTGGCTTTATGGGTGATACAACTATAGCCAAGGGGGTTTATACATATAGGATATATATATATATCACATATATATATATCTATATAATATAATATAATATTTTTTATAGGCAGATAAATACATAAATAAATAAATAAAGAAATCAATCAATCAATAAATAAATTAAATAAATAAATAAATAAATAAATAAATAATATATATATATATATCATGCATAATATCTACGCATCTAATCACATTGATAAACCAACTTGTAACTGGGGGGTCACCCGCCAGGCGGAAATTCACAAGGAACCTGTGAAGGTATTGAGCTTCTCGGACGGCCGTCGAGGTTGAATCAGCGAGGGGTTTCGCCCGCGAAAAATGGCGGTTTAACATACGTAGTTTAACCAGACAAATGATTGGGTAAAAAGCTGAGTAAAGGATTGATAGATTTTTGGTGTTTGACCAACATGTTTTGTCATTTTGATATATATATATACACATATGTATATAAATATATGTATAAATATATATATACATATATACATATACATATATATATATATATACATATCACATATACATATACATATACATATACATATACATATACATATACATACACATATACATATACATACATATATATATATGTATATATGTGTATATATATGTGTATATATACACACATATATATATGCATATATATATATGTGAGTAGAATCATGCCGGTAGCCCTTAGGACCGGCGCGTCCCGTGTGTTCCTATTGTCGCACTCCTGACAGTAGGGCGCACGTGGGGTGGGCACAAAATACATGGTTGTCTCCTTGCAATGCTTTGGGGTATATCCATTCATAGGTTATCAGTCCGCAATGCTCTTGCTGAGCTGGAATGAGACCGGTGGCAAAGCGAAAGCCATCCAACAGGCACCTGTGATGGGGGGCAGAGATAAAGACCTACCCTCGCAGTGTTGCCGGGCCCTGGCCCCAGAGGACATCAGCATGTTCTATTTGTGGCTTCAAAATCGCCGCTGCAGCAAGGCTGCATCGCCTCTCCTGAAGTGGGGGGTGTGAGTAGAATCATGCCGGTAGCCCTTAGGACCGGCGCGTCCCGTGTGTTCCTATTGTCGCACTCCTGACAGTAGGGCGCACGTGGGGTGGGCACAAAATACATGGTTGTCTCCTTGCAATGCTTTGGGGTATATCCATTCATAATATATATATATATACATGTACATATATACACACACATATATATGTATAAATAAACATAATTGTTTTATGATTAAAGAACGGGGAACATCCCCAGCTGCAATTTGCCAATCGCTCAAACATCCCATTGCGACTTTGGAGTTGGAACCATCCCAAAAGTCACAGCGATGACATGGTACGCATTTGTGAATTGCAGTGTATTTTTCAATCTGGCTGGGTCAGAAGCTTGGAATACATTGACGTTGCTAAAAACATGTTGTTCTTAAATGCCTGCACACTTTTGTTTGATAACTCCATGTCTGAATAGTCACAATTTCTCGCGTAAACGATTCCATGATTCTTGATTGTTCATTCTTCAACATGGATTTTGCTAGAGTTATTGTAACATTGTAGCTGTCTTATTTTTCTGTTTTTCCATAATGTGGTTAAAACAATAATAAACCATCCCCCAAACCACCATTTTTATAGGTGGTATTTGCACCATTCCCAGTCATGGGTAGTTTATGACATTGTTTTAACCACATTATTTCAGCTGGGTCAACTATAAGTGGTGAAAAGTTTTTCAGCAGATGTCACCAATATGACATACCATGAGATAGCCAACTATGAGTATGTGTGAACCTTCGAGAAGTGCAGGATGAGAGGCTAATTCTTAGCCATGTGGGAATTACATACAAAACCCTTCTGAGTAGTAGGCTTTCACAGATGATTTCTTTGTCATTTCGATGCGGAAGGCGTCATATCCAGCTAAAGATTCACTGTTTGCTGGCTATTCAATTCCGCAGGTTTGGACCCTGTTTTGAGACATTTTGGGTTGATATTAACTGAGATATAGACTTAACATGTATTTCTGCTGTTTTTTTTTCATTCAACCGCTGAAAGTCGAAGACTGTACGGACTTGGACAAACAGACAATTCGTCCCAACAATGATAGCACAACTACAGCAACAGTGATAAAAAACACATAAATTGAAGAACTAAATCAATATATCAATGAAGTACATTAAGACAATCATGTTTATACAGATCAACAAGAACATCATTTGTTATGTTTATAATGTTGTTAACAGGGACTTCGTTTGAGGCGACTTGGCCAAGACCGAACAAAAGTTGGACCCATCGAGGCAGACAGATGTTCGGATTTTCCCAGGGAGCTGACTAGCGGAGGATGGTTTCCTTGGGATACCCTAGGGGGACGAAGATCATATAATATACTATGATATAATATACTTAATATATCATTCTATATCATATATATATATATATATTCCATTATATTCCCATATTCTATTTTTCCGATCAAGTCATCATTTTTTTTGCAAGTGCCGCAAGTGCGACAAAAAATGGGTTGCACATCTATTTTTGGGAAGATTGAGGAGGGATGAGTCATGTTACTGTATGATTTTCCAGATGAATGGGGGGATGAACAACTACCACCCTTTTTGGACGTGAAGACCAGAGGAAACTGGTTTTCCGAAAAAGGTCGGAAACACATCCTGCTACTAGTACGTACTTAGATTATAAAACTGATTGGTGGTTTGGATCATTTTTTATTTTCCATTTCATGTATGGGATGTCATCCTGCCCATTGACGAACTCCATCATTTTTCAAGATGGTTATTGCACCACCAACCAGAAAATAATTGACATTTATATTACATTCATATTTTTTTCAAACACCAGTCTCTCCTTTTCCCCAATTTTTTTTCCATCTTTTGGGAGGCCCGTGTCCCAAGCCTCCACAGCCCTGGACTCGCGGCCGCAATCCGCAGCGAGGTGCTGGGTCCACCGAAACATTCATGGGATATGTCAACACACATAATATAGAAACATATGGAAATATATAGAAATATATAGAAATATAGAAGAATATAGACATATATAGAAATATGTAGAAATATGTAGAAATATGTAGAAATATGTAGAAATATATAGAAATATATAGAAATATATAGGAATATATAGAAATATGTAGAAATATATAGGCATATATAGAAATATGTAGAAATATGTAGAAATATATAGAAATATATAGAAGAATATAGACATAGATAGAAACATATAGAAGAATATAGAAGAATATTAAAAAATATATATATAGAAATATATAGAAGTATATAGAAATATATAGAAATATGTAGAAATATGTAGAAATATATAGAAATACATAGAAATATATAGAAATATGTAGAATAATATAGAAATACATAGAAATATATAGAAATATATAGACATATATAGAAATATATAGAAATATGCAGAAATATATAGAAATATGTAGAAATATATAGAAGTATATAGAAATATATAGAAATATATAGAAATATGTAGAAATATGTAGAAATATGTAGAAATATATAGAAGAATATAGACATAGATAGAAATATATATAGAAGTATATAGAAGTATATAGAAATATATAGACATATATAGAAATATATAGAAATATATAGAAATATATAGAAATATATAGAAATATATAGAAATATGTAGAAATATATAGGCATATATAGAAATATGTAGAAATATGTAGAAATATATAGAAATATATAGAAGAATATAAATATATATATATAGAAATATATAGAAGTATATAGAAATATATAGAAATATGTAGAAATATGTAGAAATATATAGAAATACATAGAAATATATAGAAATATGTAGAAGAATATAGAAATACATAGAAATATATAGAAATATATAGACATATATAGAAATATATAGAAATATATAGAAATATGCAGAAATATATAGACATATGTAGAAATATATAGACGTATATAGAAATATATAGAAATATATAGAAATATGTAGAAATGTGTAGAAATATGTAGAAATATATAGAAGAATATAGACATAGATAGAAATATATATAGAAGTATATAGAAGTATATAGAAATATATAGAAATATATAGAAATATATAGAAATCTATAGAAATATATAGAAATATATAGAAAAAACAATATATACATGGTTTGTCCAAGAAGTAGGGAACCTCCTGAATATGAGACATATATAATTATAATGTATATATACATATATATATACACGTAATATGGGATAGAAGCAACTTGAGATCTGATATGGGTTTGTTTGATAGGGGATACTGCAACCGTTTTTTTTTCCGGCAAAACATGATGATGATCCCTTGGAATTGGGGGTGCCCTACTTTCAGACAGACCCATCATATATTTTCACAAAACCAAGGAAGATATCTTTTGATATGTGTACTGTTGCTGGCTTTATACCTAAAACTGACGGAACAAGTGCTCCACAGGGTCTGACTAAAAATGGCCCATATCCTTAAATGGACATTATTTGTGGATGGTTCGTAATCGCTTTCCAGAACCAAACAACTCCATATTACGGGGATATCAACCTATGGCATGGATATACCATCTGGTTATTTAACATAACCGTGGAAAATGGCCATTTATAGATGATTTTCCCAGCTATAAACCTCCATTTATTTCAGGGATTTTCCATGGCTATGTTAAATAACACGATGGTAATAAGCAAGAAACAATCCATCCTACTTGGAATGATAATGTCCCAAAATTGGATCTATTTCCCGGGAATCTTTTCGCCTCTGGCCCTCGCAAGGGCTAGCAGCGGTACCGACTCCCGGCCACAGTCAGCAAGGTGGAAGTGTTGAAGTCTGAAGGGTTTGATCAGTGGGAAGTTCACCCTAAAATGGAGGTCCTGTCGCATATTTTTGGCCATATTTTATACCTCCAATCGAACAGGTTCCTGAAATGGCCATTGATTTTCTCAATGGGAATTTCAGGATCCTAAAATAGAGGTACCTCCAATCTGGGTTCCTGAAATGGCCATGGATTTTCAGGAGGGAACTTGTTCTTTTGGACGTTCCACTTTGGTTTTTGGCTCTTGGCGTGGCAGATTGTGAAAGCCAGGCAGCCAGGCAGCTAGGCAGCTAGGCAGCTAGGTGAGAATCCAAGGTCCCATTTCAGCCATGACACATATCCCTGTTGATTGAGTACCATAGTGGTGTGTAATTGTGAATTATAACCCATAATGGTGATAGCTACTGCGACTGGTTGCGAAATCCTGCATCAGTTGGTCGATCATTTACAGTGCTTCAGTCAGCAGGAGGCATCCCAACTGGTGATGGCTTGTCCACAGTACAATAGCCACGTATTCAATGGGAATTTCAGGATCCTAAAATGGAGGTACTGTGGCATATAAGGCCATATTTTGTGGGGATATTCCCTAGATAGCTAAGTTGGTTCAAAAAACTCCAATAACTGTGGTTTATGGTACTTATAACGAACTAGTTATTGGGGCTTATAAACCAACTTATAACTAGGGGGCCCCACATTGTATTAGCGTCATCCCACTGGGTGGACGAAGCTGACTAAGCCCTGTGAAGTTATCAGGTCAGAGCCACAGCCCTGGCGTTTGAGCCATGAAATTGAAGGTACCTACCATATATAAGGCCTACCCTCTGGTAAACTAACATAAGTATGGCAAATCACCATTTTCAATGGGAAAACCACTATAAATGGCCATGTTCAATAGCTATGTCAGCCATTACCAGAGGGTATTTTTCAGGCCATTTTTTCGGCGAACCACGATGATCCTCGATGTGTCACATGTTCCTTGGGCATTTTCTGCGGAAGGGATGCGACTGTTTCCAGGCGATTGATTGTCCTATATCAATGGGAATTTCAGGAACCGATTGATTGGAGGTGCCTACCATAAGGCCTATTTTTCGGGCCTATCTATATCGTTGCCACGATTTCCCCAAGGATTTGTATGGATTTCTTGAGTTTTCTACGGATTCTACGGCGACGCAGGCCCGAAAAAGTCGCAACCGAAATGGTTTTGCCTCTTCACAGCCCAATGGGATAACCAGACATTTTCAGAGCGGGATAAGCTAACAGTGATCCGAATGGCTTATGAAATAGTATATTGCCCTCTGGTTATTTAACATAGCCATTTTAAAATAGCCCATTTATAGATGATTTTCCCATGGCTATGTTAAATATCCAGATGGTATAGTTGGAAAACTGTTAACCATGATATTTTTTCTAGATAATGCTTACAACCATTAACAATGAATGGCTAGGACCATTAAAAAAAGTTGTATTAACTATTAACCATTAACTCTGGTATCATAGATTATGGTTACAACTATTCACCATTGAAAAACGGCTTATTTTTGCTGGGATAACCATAGATACCCTCTGGTAAACGTACAAAAAACTATGGAAAATCACCATTTTCCATGGGTAAATCCATTATTTCAATGGCCATTTTCAATAGCTATGTCAGCCATTACCAGAGGGTATCCCCAGCTGCATTTCCTGGTGAACCGTGCAGGCCGAGACATCTTCCAGTCTCGAGGTCACCGGAGCTTTCCGAAGTCATGGGGGAAGCCTAGTTTTCATCCAAAATTGTTTGTTATCAATGGGGAAACCAATAAGCTCCCATATATATAGATATATAGATTATAGATAGATAGATAGACAGACCAGACAGACAGACAGACAGACAGACAGACGGACAGACGGACAGAGGGACAGACGGACAGACGGACAGAGGGACAGACGGACAGACGGACAGACGGACAGAGGGACAGACGGACAGACGGACAGACGGACAGACGGACAGACGGACAGACGGACAGACCAGACAGACAGACAGACGGACAGACGGACAGACGGACAGACGGACAGAGGGACAGACGGACAGACGGACAGACGGACGGACAGACGGACAGACGGACAGACGGACAGACGGACAGACTGACAGACAGACAGACAGACAGACGGACAGACGGACAGACGGACAGACGGACAGACGGACAGACGGACAGACGGACAGACGGACAGACAGACAGACAGACAGACAGATAGATAGATAGATAGATGTACACATATGTAAATACACGTTTTGTCATCGGTTTCCATCTTGTTTTGGTGGTTTCTTGACATTGGTCGGACCATTCTTTTCCCAACCAAGATTCCTCAGTGAATCCAGCAAGAGATATCACCAAGAAAGCACGTTTTTCATGGTTAATATATGGGATACCCTCTGGTTATTTAACTGTTTGCCATGGTATAGATGGCCCATTTATAGATGGTTTACCTATTAAACATGGTGATTTTCCATGGCTATGTTAAATAACCCGATGGTAATCGTTTATGAACTATGAATCTATGGGATATCCATGGCAACTATTTCATAAACGATTTTCATGGTGATGAAAATGGTGATGAACATGGTTATTGGTTATTAGTAGGTATTACACCAGTCATAATTCTGGATAAGTCGGATAAATTGAGTCACGACCTCACATCACACCTCACTGTAATGCTGGTTGATAAGGGAAATCATCCTACAACAGCCTTAATTATCCAGTTGTTCCTTATCCAAATATATCACAATCCAGTTTAGATTGCAATGTAGCAATTTATCCATTTTGAAACCAGGATATGTCATACCTAATTTTTTATTGCAATTGATCCAGATATATCACCAAGAATCCGACATTCCTCAGTGAAATGCTGATTACTCAGTGATTTCTGTTTTGTGATTCACATCTTTCCGCCAGTTTCGGAAGAACTCCCCATGTTTGCCGATGGATTTTTGCGACCTGGTTAGCGTCTGGTAATGGCTGACATAGCTATGGAAAATGGTCCGTTCAGATGGTTTACCTGTGGAACATGATGATTTTGAACAGCTATGTTAAATTACCGAAGGATAGGTTTTCGATTTTGAAAGATCCATTTTCGCTGATTTAACAAGCGACATTTGCTCATCAAGTCCAGCACTTCTCTTGGCGAAATCATTCTGCTGATGAAGTCCGTTTAGTCTTCACAGTGAACACATGGCTCACCAAATGCAGCTGTTCTGACTTTGAATATATTCGCATGTGCTAGTGATTTCTTTTTTGGGTTTATCTTTCCAAGAATATGTGTGTTTTTTAAATCTCCCATGAAGAATATATATATATATACATTAATATGTGAACTGTGAACACCACCCGACAAAACCCAGTTACTATACATCTAATCATGAGGAAGTCTAACTTCACAACATGCAGAAACGAAAGGAACCAGTATCTTTCTGCGGTTTTATTTACTTCCTGGGCCTGTTTTGTCCAGTCTTCCATTTCTTTTAATTACTGGAACAGTTGTTGTTCATCGACTTGAAGGCTAAAGCAGTCTGTAGCTTCGCAATATGGGTATCAACCTGAATTGAGACTCGTTTCAATACCAAAAGAGGATGCTATTTTGGAATATTTTATGTTTCGGGGAGTACATTAGTTACATACTTTTTTGTTCAATCCCACCGGAAGATGGTAAACATCCCATTTTCATCCCGCAGTCCCAGTTTCACAACGGTCCAGGCCCAGTAGCGCGGTGCCGGGGCAGCCGGGGCAGCCGGGGCAGCCGAGGTCCGTTCGGCCGCAATCTGCCAGGCGCGCGCGAAGCGCGCGCGAAGCGAGCGATGTGTGGAGTGACCATGGGAAAATGCTATCGCTCGGCAGATTCAATTTGGACCCGGGGAGTGAAAATTGACCAGCGGGACCACCCTTTTTTGAGTCAACATGCTTATTGATCATCTATGATCTAATTCTTGGAACACCCAAGTTTGATCAATGACATAATGGGAACATCGGGAAGATACCAGGAGACATTAGCATTGGAAAATGGAAGCCATTGTGCATAATTCAGAACCTATTTTTGACAATATTTTTGGAGGGACGAGCATCCATTTATTAGGATATTTTGGTGCTTTGACCCACGACTTTCACATCGTTTGGATGGGTGGTTTTCCAAGCACCATCCTATGGTAGATCTGCTATTCATGGAGCAACAGCTTTGCGGAGGCCGCAATCTCAAGCTGCTGGTTTGGCCCTCGGTGTGCAAATGTTGGATCTTCAATATTTCAATATGTGTAAGCATCTTGGTTATATGTGTGCACATACTGTATGTATATATATATATGGTGCAGCGTTGGCCCCCCCCCCCCCCCCCCCACCAATGGGTATGGGTGGACAGTATCGTCTGGTTCTTCTGGCCCCCCCCTGTGGCCTGTGGTGGTGGTATGGTTCTTCTGGTCCCCCCCCCGCCCTGTGGCCTGTGGTGGTGGTATGGTTCTTCTGGTCCCCCTCCCCCTGTGGCCTGTGGTGGTGGTATGTTGGGTATGTTGGTATGTTGGTATGTTGGTATGTATGTATGTATGTATGTATGTATGTATGTATGTATGTATGTATGTATGTATGTATGTATGTATGTAATGTAATGTAAGTTTGTATGTATGTATGTATGGAGTAAGGTAGGTAAATGTAAGGTAAGGTAAGGTAATGTAAATGTAAGGTAAGGTACGGTAATGTAAGGTAAGGTAATGTAATGTAATGGTATGTATGTATGTATGTATGTATGGAATGTAAGGTAAGGTAATGTAAGGTAAGGTAAGGTAATGTAAGGTAAGGTAATGTAATGGTATGTATGTATGTACGTAGGTATGTAGGTAGGTAGGTAGGTGGGTATGTAGGTATGTATGTATATACACCACCACAGGGGCATCATACCCCCCCCATCCCATGGGGGGGGGTGGGAACACGGGACACGGGACCATATATATATATATATCTGTATGTTACTATTGTTATTATTCACATTGTTGTTACTATGACTATTATTGTCATCATTATCTTTATATCCAAATGACACTGCCGCCTTGTCTCCCAGTCTAGTCTGCCGTCATGATTCCTGCTCTTCATTGCTCTTGCCTACCGCGAATCCGGGCAGTTCCAGGTGATATCTCCACCACACAGAGGCCAGTATGGGTGGTAAAGTCCTTGTTTTTGATGAACATCATTTCTATTTTAGGTGGTAAAGTCCTTGATTTTGATGGATCAGTTTTCAAACTAATTTCAACCTGTTTGTACGATTAGATCTCAAATTTTTGGTTCAACTCCATAGCTTGATTCTTTTTGCACTTTTGGTTGGTATTAGACCATGTTTGTTGACCGTTCTCCCCGAATAGACTCAGTCGCCTTTTGACAAAACCGCGAAGACACCAGGCCCAGCAGTGCTGTGCTGCCCAGAACTACAGCGTCTAGGCGATCGGATCATCCCAAAATGGTCGGCCAAAGTCTCTACCGAAGTATCAAAAAATCATAGACAGGACTTCAGATTCAGTAGAGATTTTTTCATGATATGAAATCGACATCAATTTTTGTTCCATTCGCCAGGCCGCAGTCCTCTGGTGGGGGTCTCAGTTCAGGCAGCTGACCAAATGATCCGTCATGGACCAGTTGAGTATTAAAAGCGATGGGAAAAATGGTGGAAAATATATAGTGTAATTGTGGAAACCTCCATATATATGGTGGAAAATAATGGTGGACCAGTTGTGGAAAATGATCCGTTTGGGAATCAGCAATTTTTCGGAAACCTCCATATTTTTGTGGTGTAAAACTGGGGAGTATAAAAAAATTAGGAAGCCCTAGGATCGAAATGACCAGGCTTTGGAAAGTTTGGACTGAATCTCAGGACATCCCAGGACTTGATTTTTGTCCCGGTGAGGTGAGACTTTGGAGCAGTACGGTACCCAGCTGCAGCTGTTCGCCATGGGCGACCTTGGGGGGTCCGCTGAATCGTGGTTCGAACCGGAATCCACAGCAGTTGCCAGCTTTTTGCTGGTTTAGTACATCCCAGATATCCCAGATATCATGCCAATTCTGGGTGATCATGGCATCTTTATGTTGAATCCATTGAAGTACACCATTGTGGTCAGTCAGATTCCCTTGGATGATTTCTCAACTGCTCAGTGGCCTTCGGGAGCTTGTCACCTGCTTTTGGTCCCCAGATATTTCCAATTCTTTTCCCTTGACATGGGTGGTTGAACAATGTGAAAAACGTCTTGCATCAATATCTTCAGTGGCCAGGTACCTGGTACGTAAACTGCAGCTACTATACCATATCAAACCAGATTTTTTGGGAACATCCCCTGAAATATACCTTACATATGGTACCTCCAGTTTAGGTACCTGACGAGTGCCCTGATCTCTGCTCTGATCTCTTGGAGATCGGTGAACTCACCATGGCACCGAAAAGGTGAATCCCATGGCACCTTTCCCCATTACCAAAGCCATCCCCATTGAACCAGATTTCAAACTTCTTAAAACCTCCATGTTTATCAATTTTTAATGGTCAAACCATGTTAATTTCATGGTTAAACCATGTTAAAGCACCATATCCCTTGATACCTTGGAAGTCAAAGTCCGAGTATTTGGTTCACGGCTGACAGTGCCAGGTTCGGCGTCCGAAGTGTTCGGCCATTGTCTGCCAGGCAGTTGTTGGAGCCGCAAAAAACATGGCGAGGTCTCTGATTTTCGCTGCAAAAATGAGGATAAATGGTGATTAATGGATATTCATGGGATTTACGATTGGTATTTAATGGCATTTAACTATCAACTTAAATGGGCCTTTAGCCGACAAGTGGGGATTTGAACCTGATCCGAGTGTGTGAATATGTCGTCTGTTCCTGTTACTGGGGGTTGATATGACTGTACGTGTTTCATATCGTGGTTTGAGATGTATTTCATTCGTATTGTGTACGTAAAACTATTTATCCTACGACTGGGGATGGTATCAATTTCATCTTAAACTCTATGTATATATATATATAATTTTATATAATGTATTCATATGATCAAAAAAAACTGGGGATTTTCATGGGATTTCACCATCAACACATGGGGATTTAATCGGAATGAACATAGTGATGAACGACTGGTTTTAGCTACTGAAAATTGTGGTTGAGCTAAAATTGGTGACTTAATCATACTCAAATAACTTAGCCTCTGGTAATTTGTTGCGAACTGGAACATCACCATCTTTAAGAACAGTAAATCATTGAGCTTAATGGGACATGGCTTCCATATATGTCAGTTTACTGGAGGGTTTATCATAGTGGTTTCCTGGCCTTCAACGATGGTGCACACTTACATTGTAGTCACATAGAAATTGGGACTTCACAGGTAAGATGAATCCCGTCACCATTCGAATGGGTTTTTCATGAGCTACCCATGGGTATGTCATCAACACGAGATACTGTGGATGGCAGAAATTCATAGAAATTCTGCACCAGTTGAAAACGGTGTTTTTTTTGGCTTTCAACATGTTTTTTACGCATCCCAAATTGGTGGTTTATCGGATTTCGCTGGCCCATCCGGCGTATGTTGATTGGAGGATTTGTCACCTAGTGGATGAGGAACTGCATGAGCTACTGCCCAAATCAAGTCGATGCAGTTTACGCATGCCAAGATTGTTGATCTTGGACTGGGTGACTGGCAGGTTTGGGTAAACAAGGCAGAGGTTTTGTTTGGCAGTAGTTTGGCACAGTGATATCCATAGGATCCATGGTGCTGCTATATATGGTGTGCCATGGATCCCATCAATATACCCCAGTCATGTTAGCATATATACCAGCACCATGGATCCGTCATGGGATAGGCTAGAACTGAACTTTCAGTTTTAAATGGCACAGTGGGGTCGTGGATGATCTAGCAAAGGCTGACATGACCCAGTTGTGGGAGCAAGGTCCATCACTGTAGGGTACCGTTGCCTCAAAACATTTGTTTTTTGGCAATGCCTTTCAAATCTCCCCTGCAATCGATCCCCCAGCAGTCAAGATAACCAAATCAGAAGTATGTTTCGAAGCAGCATTTTGTGCCATTTGGATCCATTTAGTCCATCTCAATTTATGCTAAGGTAATCTCAACATCTCAACCAACCGCACTAAAAAATGATGGCAGCCATGGCCCATGTCAGGCCGGCCTCTCATGGAGGTTCAGCCCTCAGATTAAGGTGAACTTTGAGCCACATGGAGGAAAACACCTATGTATACATAGAGAGAGTAAATTGGTGGTTGTTTTCTCCTAACAGGATATTTTTTTTTTTTAACATGTTTTTTTTGGTGAGGACGCAGTTGTTCTAGTCAGGAATGTGATATCAAATGGCAGCCTTATATGGCGAACGAAGTAGCCGGCATTGGCCACGCTTCGGTTCGGTTTCACGGAACTGGACCTAAAACTTGTTCGGTTCGCTTCCTAAACGGTTGAACATTTTCGGTCAGTTTGGTTGGTAACCAGATGATACCAGATACATAATAACTAGTTAATAGCTAGTTAACAACTAGTTAAGAACTAGTTAAGAACTAAGAACCCCTGGGTGATGCACTTTCAACGTCGAAATAAGTGACATGTGGATTCCAGGCCGAAAAATCGTGTTTTTTTAGACGCTGAGTCACTGCAGGTGATCCCCTGAGTGGAGGAGATTTCAGGCGACGTGGCGAGTTGTGGGATACAAACAACAAGAATCCGCGGATCCTGTCGCTTACCCTCTGGTAAACTAACATAGCTATGGAAAATCACCATTTTCAATGGGAAAATCCACTATAAATGGCCATTTTCAATAGCTATGTTAAATTACCAGAGGGTAAATATCTTACCATCTGGTTATTTAACATAGCCATGGAAAATCACCATTTTTAATAGGTAAACCCAGGTAAACCATCTATAAATGGGCCATTTTCCATGGCTATGTTAAATAGCCAGAGGGTAAATCCACAGTTGTTTAAGCCTGGATTTGCTGAAGATGATTTCACCTTTTTTGAATCGGAAATCCACTACGACTGGGGGATTTATAGGGAATATGTTTTCTTTTTTTGTTCCTTCAGCAAATCCAAGTAAATGCTCATAGTTCTTTGTGAATTCCAGTTCCAGTTGGCGAAATCCCAAAGGTCATCCAAAAGGTCTATCGCTCAGGGCTTGGTACATGCACAATTCGGGGGTTTTCACCAAGAAACAGATGTTAGTTTTCATCGCTGGGACAATCTACAGGACACCATATTTGGAGAGGAAGAACCATAGTTTCCTTCTTGGGTCGGCAGATCCCAGGTGGACATCCTGGTGTCACACTGTTCGGTGAAACGTTCCCCATTCGACGTTAGGCTTCCTGAGCTGGATGTGCTTCTGGACTTGGAGTTGGAGGCCAAAACTCCAGCTTTTTCGGGGGAACATGTCGGAAAATCTGCGGCGAAAGATTTCGAGGTTTTTTGGAGATGTTCCCAGTTCCGAGAGATCAGAGATTTCGCCTCGATGTTTCCCAGACTAGATACTTAATGAGATTTTCCCTAGATCATAAGGATTTCACCGTGGTGAACCTGAGCACGGAGATGAGCCACAAAAATTAGATGGCACCGTTTAACTCCGTTTTGTGTCACTATGGTTGATGTCACTATGGTACCACTATAGTATACTATAGTCATATAGTGACTCTATAGTATTACTTTGGTTATGGTAACTCTATAGCAACTAGTCATGTAGTGACTCTATGTAGTTACAAACATCAAACATCCACTATGTAGTTATGGTTAATATAGTTATTACTATAGAGTTTGTGGTACCAGAACTAGAGTAACTCTATAGTAACTCTCTCGCGAATCTAAAGCATCTGGGGGCTCCCACGGATTGAAACCTGAGTAGCTGGTGGGTAACCATGATTCATCACATATAATATTAGACACTTAGACAACATATATTTAACCACATATGTTTAAGCTACATATGTTTGTTGGTGGATATATCATGATATATCACATGTGGCAAAAAAACACATATACATGAATATTCATGTAGCATATATTTATATATAGCACACGTTTATAAAATACGTATACATATATATATTGTTAGTATATTTTACATATGGGTTGGTCTGAAAATGGACTATCTCCTGAAAAAAACATGTTGCCCTGGCAGGTGGCTGAAATCAATGGTCAACCTTTGGAGGATGAGCAACCCTTGGAATCTACGGCCTCAGCTAGGAGGCCAGGGGATAGAACAGAAATATGTAGGAAATGCTAGGAAAACTGTGGGAAAACCATAGGACAGCCATAGGAACATGGTGATTTCACCAGCAAACATGATGTTTTAATGGTACTTAGAGTCTAATTTATGAAACCGCTTAGTTGCGGTTTACATAACTCCAATGTTGCTACGGTTTATGGTACTTATAACTATAGTATTCATGGAGTTAATGGTCACCAATGTTCACATCACTGGGAAGCCTCACCTGGGTCACGGTCCTGGCGTATTGGGGGATTATGAACTAACCCAGTAGTATAGTGAGATGGGATAGGGGTCTTCTCAATGGCTCATTGAATCATGGGAAAATCATTGAAGTATTTCTGGGAAATTTTCTACACTGGAGGGTACGCGTGGAGATACAACTGGCTACACATCACATTTTCAATTCATCTGTCACCGAAGCTGTAGATTGCAAACAACTACGGTACTCGTAACTATGATATTTCGCAACACCATCCTAGCTTGATGTGATTTTGAGGACTAGAAAATTCGAAAGTTCAGCCAGCTAGATTAGTGGGATGCACATCCACCAGAAAAGTTCAGTGGAGCTCCAAAAATGCCAACATTTAGTAGTCAAATCATCTTTGGGATCTCATGTTTTTCAGGTTCGATGTGAAATTTAGGGCCTGTACCTCACCCAAAAACCTGGCACTTTCTGACCTCTTAGGGGATGCGCCGCTACCGCGTTCGCCTGACGTAAAGCGCCAGGCTACAGCGCAGCAGCAAGGCCTCCGGCGACTCGGAGGCTTCGGAGTTCATCTATCAAGGTGCGGTCTGCGGTCAGCGATTCCGCTGAGGTAGCTGACATCCACCACGTGGATCATTCGCCGGGTTGAAAAAACAGTACATTTGGGATCTTTGGGTAAAAGCATGTTCCAAAACATTTATGATATTATACATAAATATTATTTGAAAAACATTATGATCATTTGGCATCAAAGATTTTCCGACAATCCAGTTCTAGGAGTCTGGTTGCAGAGTCTGCAGGCCCCACAGCCCGCAGGTCAACCGTTGCTCCCCCTGCCAGACGTCTGGTGCTGAGAAGCGAACCGCTGAAGAACAACAATGGCATTCACAGGTGGGTATATGGGTATGGATCAATTCCTGTACGTTTGGTAGGAGGATGAACATTTGTTCTCTAGCTATTTTGATGTGAACAAACGTGGTACAGGGTTTTTCGCCCATCCACCAATGAACACAGGAGTTTGACGGTACCGGAATTGGAGGGAACATTTACTGGAAACCCTCAATTTTCGTAGAAACCATGCCATCCTCTATAATTATTTTGCCAACCAACCCAATGAAATGAAACAAATCGACATGGGCGTGGAACTGATATAACCAATACTGGTTGGTGGTTTGGAACATGGCTTTTATTTTTCCATTCAGTTGGGAATGTCATCATCCCAACTGACTAAATCTGACGAACTCATATTTTTCAGCGGGGTAGGTCAACCAGCAACCAGAATAAATACGAGTAACTCATTGGTCTTAGATTTTCCGATGATTTACCGTCTTGGGATATTTGTGTCTGGCACCTTGGCACGGCTCAAGTCTGGGGACCTTGGAAAGATACTCCTGCGATCTCCTGGGAAGAGCTGTTGGAAATCCCCATACGATTTTTATAGCACGCTTGGAACAAGCTGAGTTTGCAATGGGGAATCCCCTTCGAAAGGAATGGGGCAATCGCATGCAATCGCCTCCCCACGGGCTTCCATCATTCCATGATAATGATTCTGGGCCTTAGTAAATCTAACAGCATCATTTTCGGAAATTATAAATCACCCCATGAATCACTGGGGTTTGCAGTGGGGTTGTTTCAAATTTGCAACCCCAAGATTCTAATTTGTAATGATGTATGATCTATCATTATTTTCCTGCTAAATTTGTGAGAAATTTGATCCATGATAAACTTGAGACCATGACTTGATAGATCAAAGCTTATCACTTTTTTCTCGAAACATCAAACACAATCATTGTCAAATTTGATAGTTTACATAATTGGGACCTTGACAAATTTGGGTTTTCAAAAAGCCGTTGGCCATATTATATTCATAATATTTCATCATAACTTGGGGTATTAAAAAGGTGCCGTGGTCAAAACTTTGTAAATGACAGCAGTTGTTTGTGTTGTGATTTTTACATGTGCACGAATGGCGGAGAAAAAAATATCGTTTCCCTTCACTGGGTCCCTATTTTGTGGATAAAAAAATCACCATGGGCACATTCAGGTTATATCCCGACAAATTGGAGGTGAACTCATCACGGTTGGCCCCAGAAACAACTTTCCCCAACTGCAGCCCCTGCAGTCCCATTTTCCTGAGATCCCATTGAGTGTCCCAGCCATCGTCCAATGATACTTGTACCAATGATTAATCTAATCTGGGTAAATTTCATCACGACCTCACGTCGTTCTCCCGAGCCCTGGAATCATGGTTTTTCATTAGGGAAATCATCCCCTTTTGTGGCTGCAAGATTCAGGTTAGTGAAATAATATCACAAAATTTACCCTAGTAACAAATTCGTTATTTGCGTACCATAAACCATAGTGACATTGGAGTTATTTATAAACCAACTTAGCTATCCAACGGGGGCCTCACATTGAATGATATATATAATATTATATAATGATATCCCATTATGCTCATTTATTAATGTCCATAAGATTCCCATATCAAAAAATCCCAGTATTTGCCCGGTTTTTTCCGTGGGTAGAAGAAAATGTCATGAACCAACCATCCCCCAGTCATCACCATATATTTTTTTTTGTGGTATGTTTGCACCATTCCCAGTCATGGGTGGTAAACATGGTATTGTTTTACCCACAGAAAAACAACCATCATCAACCATTATTATTGTTCATTATTATCCGCTATTCATAATTGGTTAACAATGATACATCCATTATTCAACAATTATTAACCATTAATAGTATACATTATACATCCACTATACATCATTGTTAACGTTATATTAACCATTATTAATAAATTTAAGTTTTACATCCATTATTCAACCATT